CTGGATGATTTGAAGACTTCACTTAATCCATGCTATACGATATGGTACCGGCAAGACAAGACTATCCTGAGCGCACTTCTAGGCAGTTGCTCAGATACGATTCAGCCCATCATATCTTTGGTGGCCAACACACGGCAAGCGTGGGACAAGCTTGCTGCCAACTATGCAAGCACCTCCCGTGGTAGAATTATTTCACTTAAGACCACACTCGCCCGCACCACGAAGGGCAGCCGCTCAATCACCGACTACCTTGCGGAGATGTATGCTCTCTCTGAAGCACTGACACTGGCACAAAATCCTATCTTAGAAGAAGATTTGGTTATCAACATTCTCAATGGCTTGGGACCTGCTTACAGTGAAATCACATCCGCTATCCGGGTCAGATCTGCCGCCCTTCCATTAGCGGAACTCCAGGATATCTTACTTGAGCACGAGAGCCGGTTACAGGAGCAATCAATGTCCAACCCTTCTCTTGTACCAACGGCCAACATCACACAGGCTCATGAACGTCCTTATGAGAGGAACTCATAAGGATCGCCGAGGAACTCAACCGCGTCGAGGACGTGGTGGTCACCAACCATCTCAGTCACGTCATGGTTCTCCCCTTATATGCCGATTTTGTGACAACTTGGGGCATGATGTGAAACACTGCCGTAAACTCCAGAGGTTTTTGCGTGATCATCAGGTGTCCTACCCGGTGCATGCTCCTCCTCCTACGGCCAATCATCTATCCACAAACACCACCTCAACTGGGCAGCCGTGGCTTCTTTTGGACAGTGGAGCATCCCATCATGTGGCTTCAGATGCATCACTTCTTCCTTCCTACTCTGAGTACGGTGGACCGGATGAAGTACGCCTTGGCGATGGTAAGTCACTCCAGATAACTCACACTGGTAATACTACCCTCCTTACCCAATCCCGTCCTCTCTCTCTTTCTCAAGTCCTATGTGTTCCTAGCCTTCATAAAAACCTCATTTCTGTTGCCAAGTTATGTAAAACTAATCATGTGTCTGTTGAATTTTTTCCCTCTCATTTTTTTGTCAAGGATCTAGTCACGGGGGCGCCACTCATGCGCGGGGAGAACTTCCATGATGTCTACTATGCACCTACCTCAGTCATGCCACAAATTCACAATACTCACGTTTCTGACATTTCTTGGTGGCATCATACTCTTGGTCATCCGTCTCGAAGTGTTTTCAATAATATTGTTCGTCAACACAATAATATTATCAAATGTAGTGCTCCTTTAGATTACTTTTGTACTTCCTGTTTCATCAATAAAAGTACCAAGTTGCCATTTTCCGTTAATTCTATGTCTGCAACTAGTCCCCTACAATTAATATATTCCGATGTGTGGAGTACTCACACTAAGTCCATTGATGGTCATAATTCTTATGTCATTTTTGTGGATTATTTTACTCGTTATACTTGGCTATATCCACTTAAAGCAAAATCTGAGGTGCCACATATATTTCCCCAATTTCATCGCCTTGTTGAAAAATACTTCAATCACAAAATCATTGCGGTATTTTCTGACAATGGCGGTGAATATATTAAATTGCGATCTTACCTAAATACTCATGGTATTTCTCACTTCACCACCCCGCCTCATACACCGGAACATAACGGTATAGCTGAGCGCCAGCATCGTCACATTGTTGATACCGGTCTCGCTTTACTTCATTATTCTGGTCTCCCTTCTATCTATTGGTCGTATGCGTTTCAAACCGCTGTCTATCTTATTAACCGGTTACCCACTCCATTACTTCAAAATGACTCTCCATATGTTCGGTTATATAATAAGTTACCAAATTTGTCCAAACTCCGTCCATTTGGGTGTCTATGCTATCCGTGGCTTCGTCCCTACTCTGACTCAAAACTTCAATTCAGGTCGAGTGCGTGTGTGTTTGTGGGATATTCTACAACACAATCGGCATTCCATTGTCTTGATATTCACACGGGTCGTCTATATGTAAGTCATCATGTGAGATTTATATCTCATTATTTCCGTTTCAAAAAGGTCACAATGGGTCGTCGGTGCAAAATTCTCCCAGCACACGCATGTTAACCCCCACGCATGCAGGCATGCAAAATTCTCCCCGTGAGGTTCCTTGTCAAACGGCTACTCCGAGGTCAAACACTTGCCCCATTATACCCGTACCTATCTCCTCAGCTACTCAGCCGTCCCCTCCTATTTTGCCGCAACATCAAACTACTCCCAATTCAAATTTAAATTCTAATTTAAATTCAAATTCAAGTCCTATCTCACCCCCTCCTATTCTTCCGCCCGAGTCAAGTCCTAACCCACCAACCTTTAACTCCCATTCCAATCCACTCAACCTTATCACACCACTTCTCAATAATTCAAATTCCAATAATTCTAATCTATCCTTTACGTCAACTTGCCTTATCCCTGGAGCACCACATAATCTGCCAACTTCACCTAGTCATAACACCCACAACACTACACACCCAACCCCACCACCCACGTGTCCCCCACACTCCGTCTCACCACCGGCCTCCTCAACTGGGCCCTCTTTATCCACCTCAGACCAACCTTCTTCTTTTAATCTACCCACCCTTAATCGTCCAGCCCGTACCCGTAAACCCAATTCCAAATATGTCGGTGGCCCGTTTGTTAACACTACCGCTAATCATCCCATCCCCACTTCTCTAGAACCACCAGTGTGAAGCAAGCTCTGGGTGATCCTCGCTGGAAGGCTGCCATGGAGGTGGAATTAGATGCCCTTCACAGGAACCAAACTTGGACGCTAGTTCCACCGTCCGGACGTACCCCTATTACATGCAAATGGCTCTTCCGGGTTAAACGTCATGCGGATGGTAGTATTGCACGGTACAAAGCACGACTGGTTGCTCGTGGTTTTCTCCAACAACCGGGACGTGATTATTTTGAGACATTTAGTCCGGTTACAAAGCCCGCTACTATCAGACTTGTTCTCTCTATTGCTTTATCTCATCAATGGCCACTCCGTCAGTTGGACGTCAACAATGCGTTTTTACATGGTACATTGGTTGAAGAGGTTTATATGACTCAACCTCCGGGGTTCAAGGACGGTACTCATCCTACCTATCTATGCAAACTCCAAAAAGCTCTATATGGTCTTAAACAGGCGCCTCGGGCCTGGTATCTTGAACTTACAAGATTTTTGCAGACTGTTGGGTTCAAAAAGTCACGAGCAGATGCTTCTCTATTTGTTTACTCACAAGCAGGTGCTTTATTATATTTCATGGTCTAAGTGGATGATGTAATTTTGACAGGAAATCAATCTAGCTTGGTTGAAATATTTATTAAACAGCTCACCATGCGATTTTCTGTTAAAGATCTGGGCATGCTTCATCATTTCCTTGGCATTGAGGTAATCCCTACCTCTGATGGATTATTTCTTTCCCAAAGACAATACACTCTTAATATTCTGGAAACACTCCGCATGCATGAAGCAAAAGAGTCTGCCACACCCATGAGCTCATCAATCACTCTACATCTTAATGACAGTTCTGCAATCCATGATATTACTCAATATCGCCGGGCTTTGGGTCTTCTCCAGTACCTGTCCTTCACTAGACCGGATATTTCTTTTGCGGTGAACAAGCTGTCTCAATACATGCATGTCCCACGACGGCTCATTGGCAGGCCGTCAAGCGGCTCCTTCGCTATCTTAAGGGCACACTACACTATGGCTTATTCCTTCGGAGACATTCCTCCCTCACTCTTACTGCCTTCTCTGACTCGGACTGGGGGGATTCATGATGGTGGGCGATCCACTACTGCCTATGTTATTTATTTTGGGACTAATATTATTTCTTGGAAGTCTGCAAAACAAAAATGTGTGTCACGGTCTTCGACTGAGGTAGAATACCGTGCTGTTGCGAATGTCAGTGCTGAACTCATTTGCTTAAATCCTGTATTTCACTCGCGCATGAAGCATCTTGCACTGGATTTCTATTTTGTTCGTGAGCTTATTGAACGTGGTCAACTAAGTGTTCATCACATTCCCACTTCACAACAGATAGCAGATTTACTCACTAAACCGTTGCCCAAAGCTGCCTTTGCAAAATTTCGGTCCAAGCTGGGAGTCTCCGACGGAAACTCCATCTTGCGGGGGCGTATTAAATAATCTTAATTAATACTAATTACCTATGTTATTCATTCTGTTATAATAGATATACACGTATAGTTATCTACTAAAGTTTCTCCTTGATTTGTGTAAACAGTTAGCTTCTAGAATACTCTCCAAGTGTATATAAATAGCAGTACGATGTACTCTCATAATTATCAATGAACAAATACTCTTTCATATAATTCTTCAGCTTTCCTGAACAGAATTGAAACACTTAAATTCGACGGTTTTCATATACATCTCAAATTAGTTCTAATGATAGATTTGTTTTGTTGAGCGGTCTTGAGAACACGCCGAAATTTGTAAGATTTCGTAATATCTCAAGAGTGGTTTTTTAAATGATGGAGCTTTGATTAAGATCTGAACTGAAATATTTTAAACCATGAGAAGAACCTTGTACATTTGAGTCAACCAGCATTAAAAGTGTAGTCACAAATTTGAGGAAGCCTCATCGCATAGAGTTCGCATCATTTTCATTCTGCACACATCATGATCTCAATTATTGGTGTATGTTTGGGCAAAAAAATGCCACAGAAAGTTATTCTTATGTTTGGTTTTACTTTGATAACGAGTATCAATAGATATTTAATTGCTATCCTCAAACAATATTCACTTCTGTTGTAAAGAGTAAATATGCAGTGTCAAAACTTTATTCTACAGTATATTTACCTGCAGTAAAAAGAAACGTTATTGGAAGTCAAAGAAAAGAATATGATATCCATAAAATCCCTGAAAGTCAAATTAGGAAGTTTTTTAAGAGACAGGGGGAGTATTATCTTACCCTAATATAATCCAGTCTCTGAATAGAACCTTTAAGCATTTGCTGTCACTGTTTCCTGAAAATCTTATGCAACTATGAAGGAGGATACAGCGGTGACAAGGATGGATATGAAATTCCAGCTGGTACTGATGTATTTATTTCGGTAAGTTTGTTACTTATCATTTGTGCGCATATTTTTTTGCTGTATAATGGGTTTGAGGACTCATAGACTCATAACTCTAGGATAAAGATTCTTCAAGGTAGGATGGTCCCCATGGATTTGATTGTTTCAGTTACACATCAAAACAGGTATATAATCTCCATAGGTCACCATACTTTTGGGACAAACCAGACAAGTTTGAACCTGAGAGGTTTCAAGTTCGAAGAGAAAGTGAAGGAATTGAGGGGTGGGCTGGGTTTGATCCATGTAGGAGCCCAGGAGCATTATACCCAAATGAGGTCAGCTGCTCTCTGGAGCTGTTTAATTGTTTTTGTATGTTGGTTGTACAATGCCAGTTCTTCAAATGTGACCTGACTATTGCAATATGCTTTTTGCACATATTTATCGAGTTAATTAATTTAGACCACTGAAACCCAGATTTGAAATGGCTCAAGTGGCTAAATCTGTTAAAATTATTTAAGTTGAGTACCTAACAATAAAACAAATAGTATCAAATCGAGCTATTTCTGCCAAAAAGATGACTGCACTATTTTTATCATCCCTGGATTCAGCAATCACTGTGGCAACAGTTGAGTTTTATTTGGAAAAGCAAGCTGATAAGTCAGCTTATAGCTTATAAGTTAATGTAAAGATTATAATGTATATCTGATAACTTCTAGCGCATAAGCTAGCTCTTCTCATAGCATTTGGAAGAAATTTGCTAACAAGCTAATTTAGAAATACAAAATTACATAAAATGGGGTGCTTAAAATATTTTTGAAATAGAAAATGAGGTAAAAATTGAACTATAAACAAAATATATCATCAGCTGTTTTGAAAAGACATTCCATGAAACATAGAAAATAAGCATGACCTTATTTTTTGACGATGCGAGCTTATTAGAAAAGTCCCCCCAACCAACCAAACGAATGTTATTTAAAAACACTAGTAGCTAGCTTATGGCAAGCACCTTATTGTTTGGTGAAAGAAATGGTCGATTAGACAAAGCTAAAAGCACAATGGAATGCAGATGAAGTGTCTTTCTTATATGCATTCTAATGGGGCCACTTGTGTGATGATTCAGATTATGTCAGACTTTGCTTTCTTGCCTTTTGGTGGTGGACCAAGAAAATGTGTAGGTGACCAGTTCGCCCTCATGGAGTCAACCATAGCATTAGCAATGCTGCTTCAGAAGTTCGACATAGAGTTGAGTGGATCACCAGAGTCGGTGGAGCTCGTCACAGGTGCAACCATTCATACAAAAAATGGGTTATGGTGCAAACTGAAAAAGAGGTCGTCCGGTATGTAGTTTGGAGTCGTTTATACCTTCTGGCTCCTGAAGAGAAGACTTTTGTGTTGTTTTTTTAACCGAACAAACAGCCTTTTATTAGATTAATAAGTCATTTGCCACATGGTATGAGATTGCACTCCGATATAAAATTATAAGTACTACTATGATATGAGATTGCAACATGCGCTCTAGCCTCTAGCTAATGCTCTAACTTTTGTGTTGTTAAAGCCCGCATAGACGGCATAGATCAGGCTTGAGGTTTAATTAATATTAATTATAATTTTATTTTCAAATGAATAGGTTGCAAATTGCTTTTCAAAATTATCTCAAATCGTCCATGATTCATGTTAAATTGGTTTATGTTTTAACTTCCGTAAATAGGACAAAAAACATGATGGAGGTCTTTAACTTCCCTAAATAGGACAAAAATTGGAGCATAGGTTGGGGCGTGGGACTAGCCGACTAGGACTGGTGGGGTTGGAATTCGATCATGGCTACAAAGCCTACAACCCATAAATTTTAATTCAATTTCTTTTGTAAAATAAGTGACCAATAATGATTTCAAGACACTTCTTTCTAATTAACTATTAATACTTTAAATTTACTTATAAAGTCAAATATATTACTTTTGTCAAAAAGTAGGCTAAATTGACACCAATAATCCCTACTTTTACACATTTTATAAAAATAATCCCTAGTGATAAATTTCATGAAAATAATCCCAACGAGTTTTATGTTTCACAAAATAATCTGAGTGCTAACAGTGTTAACTTTTCTGTTATTTTTAATTTTGAATGTATCAAAAAAATATTAGAAATATCCATATTAAATATTCAATGTTATACAAAATTTGTATTAATATTTAATGTAGCATTACTAGAAAAAATAGTATTACTAAAAAAACTTTAAAATCTCTATTAGAATGAATAAAAAAAGGAAAAAGGGTCAAATAGACCCGTCTATTATTGTAGATCGGTCATCTAAACCCGCGTACTAAAAAAAGAGTCACATATACCCGTTTACTCTATAAAAAAGATCAAATCAGTCAATTTTACCTGAAGTTGACGGTTCAAAACCGATCACATAGCTTGCTATTTCTGATATTTTATTTTATTTTATTTTTCCGTTTAATTTACTTTAATTTTCTACAATTTCTTTCATCATCTTCTTCCTGTGTTAGTCCTGCAGCGGTCCGTCATCGGTCTTACTCCCTCCTCATCCCGATCCTCTTCTTCATAAATCATCCTTGTTATTCTTTTCTTACTGTTCTTCATATATGTTTCTTCACTTTTGTGTTTCTTCCTGAAATTTACATGAATCAAATTCAATAGCAAACTTGAGTACATCGTCAATGTACTCAAGTTCATGAATTTCTTCCGTTTCTTCCTTTTCTTTCATATCAACGCTCTGGCCACCATTTCCCACCGTTCATGGATGACATTGGCTACTGGAAATGGACACGATTTTCCACTGCTTGCTAATGGACACCACCTGTAGGAATGGGCTCTCAGCTCACAAATCATATTGTGAAATCTCCCACGTCGCTGGTAGGAGAAGCCCCAAAGCTTCTGATTCGGAATCCAAGGTCAGTAGTTAGTAAGTACACGGTCTCCATCTCGAATCGAAGACCTAAGACCAGTCCAATTACGCCATCCTTCGAATTCAGATTCATCCCCATGGAAGCACCGCCTTCTCTTCTCGCTGTGCTACAACGAAGGATCGCGGCAACTTCAGAGAATGGAGGAGCAAAATTCTCTTCTCTACATCATAATCATTGGTCAAGTCGGTGACGAAGACATTCGATCGGAAAACCCTTCTCGCCGCTGGACTCGTCGATCTTGAAGAGGGGACTGGACAAACGAGAACAACCGAACAGAGAGAGTAAATAAAGAAAAAAGGAAAAAAATTACTCTGTATAAATTAGCATTTGACTATGTGACTCTTCCGGCTGCAGATGGTTATCTTCCGGTTAATTGGTTGATTTGATCCTTTTTTAGAGTAAACGAGTATTTGTGACTCTTTTTTTAATTCGTGGGTTTAGATGACGATCTACGATAGTAGAAGGGTCTATTTGAATATAAACAAAATATGGACAAGGAATAAAAGAGTAGAGAATTTGAAGAGTATGTAATATGTAGTGTTCAAATATTTCTATTATGTTTTATGATAAAAAAAAATTGAGTACTAAAATAATTTTTTACTAGAAACAAGATTAAAATCAAATATAACATTGTCAATATTTATATATATATTTGCTTGGAAAAATTGAAAATAATAATCTCAACTATTGCCGGTCCGCTAAAAATAATCTCAACTATTGATTATTTTTGTATAATCCCAACTATATAGGCTATCCGCCAATAATGGTCCATGACCATATATTACATCTATAAAAAGTGAGTTTTAAATAGAAATTAAGCGTAAAAATTAAAAGTTGAGATTATTTATAGGGATTACTTGTTATATCTCATCTCATCCACTTTAGAAACTACAAGAATTTATTCATACGGACTATTATTGGCGGAAGGTCCCTAAAGTTGGGATTGTTCTGTAATAATCAATAGTTGGGATTATTATGAGCGGACCGCCAATAGTTGGGATTATTACTATCAATTTTTCCTATTTGCTTCAATATATTTAAAATAAAAAATAACAGAAAACTTAATAGTATTAGCACTCGGTTTATTTTTGTAAAAAAAGTTAACTGGTTGAGATTATTGTTGTGAACTTTTCAAGTAGAAAGTATTTTTGTAAAATGTGTTAAAGTATGGATTATTGGTGTCAATTTTGCCTAATAAATTGAGTAAGTATAAAATAAGAATGCTACTACTCCATTTGTACAAAACATGGCAAGCGGATTAAAATATTGTCAACCTCACAAATGTAATATAAAGCCACAAAAGTGTCATTATTTTCAAAGCAATGTGCTCTATAAAGTCATTATTTATAGTTCAACATCGATACTCATTACCTTCGTTAAAACCTTGTGCAGTTAGGGAAATAAGAACTAAAAAATGAATATCAGAGGGGGGAGGACGCGGTGGCTCCCGTGGTGGCCGTGGCAGCAGCCGTGGACGAGGGTAATAATGTAATTAAGACTTTAATTAGGCTTCCATATTTATTTAGTTTCCTAATGTACTCAGAACTCTTATTATTATTATATATATATATATATGACATCTAGGCTATCACGTTGGTTGCCTTTTCATTATTCTCACTTGGTATCAAGAGCCCTAGGGTTTTAGACAGATAAAAAAAATTGCGATGACCTCCTCCGAAGCTTCCGCAGCCGCCGTGTCAGCTTCGACTTCCGCAGCCGCCATGACCAGCACATCGGCGACAGAAGCATCGGTTTTGAGCGCATCTCACGATTCGGGAACATCCTCAGCGTCGCTGGAGTCCGAACTCGTCCAGCCCGAGTCCTCGTTCTCGCCGCTACAGGCCACATGGATCCCACCAATTTTTACCTTGATGCCAACACCACCCACGATTCCGCTGCAACACTTGCTCTCTGGAGACTCGATCGACGAATCTAGTAACGCAGCAGCCATCCGCATGCGATTCGGTGGACCTACTCTAACTGGCAGTCCAGGTCTTGTTTTTCCTACTCTGCCCCAGACCATCGGCCGCAGACAGCCTGAGTCCTCCATGCCAGTTTCTTTTGCTTCCTTGGCTCAAGGCATGACTTTTGGTAATTATATCGCTGAAATTCTTACCACTAAGTTATTAGCCGTTGAAGATTATTTGTCGTGGCGTACACAATTTGAGTCCTTTTTCTGTGGCGAATGGTCTCTTGGGCTTTCTTGACGGTTCTCTTCCGGTTCCACTTGACGGTTCTCTTCCGGCTCCACCTATGTACACCTATGATTTATATCAGGCTCAGGCCGTTAATCCTGAATATTATCATTGATTGAAATTCGATCAGACTGTTCGTGCTTGGCTGTTTGCTACACTCTTCGGTGAGATGTTGATGGAAGTTCATACTCTTAAGAATTCCATAACAATTTGGCAAATTTTGGAGTCTCGTTTCATGGCGGCTAGTCTTGCTCGTTTAATGGAGTTAAAACATATGTTATCTCACGCTAGGAAGAAAGCCAATCAGTCCATGGTTGAGTATGTTTGTGGCATACGAACAATTGCAGATAATTTGAACTCAATTAATGCCCCGGTTTCTGATGCGGATTTGTTACAACACACACTTTATGGCTTGGGACTTGGGTATGAATCATTGGTGGGGCCACTTACTCTTTTTCCCGAAGGCTTGACGTTGGATAAATTATGCACCAAGCTGGTTCATCAAGAGGCACACTTACAATACCAACAATCACTGGAATCTACTGTTGGTGTGCCTGCCTTCTCGGCCAATAGCGCGGCAGGGGCTGCTCCGGCAGCTTCCAATGCCGCTGGACAACAGCAGCCTCATCGGGGAGGACGTGGCGGCCATCGTGGAGGCCGCGGCTGCGGACGCTACCAGCAGCAGCAACTGTCGTACGGACAGCAAGCTCAGGCATACGGACAGCAGCCTCAGTACTACGTCCCTCGTCCGCCTCACCCGCAGCAGCCTTCATCTGGCCGTGGACAGCTCAATAACACTTCTTTGGGTCCACCGGGTACAGTTTTTTGTAATACAGTTGGGTCATCGTTTTATACTCCTGCATTATCTACTTTTTGTACTAACGATGTTTCTGCAGGATTCCCATCTTTTGAGAATAATTTTGATTCCGTACCACCACCTGTTGTCTGCCAAATCTGTCATTCTCCAGGTCATTCCGTTGTGTCATGCCCTTCTCGTTTTGCTCAAGCTTCTACTTCTGCTTTAGCTGTTCCTACTCGTGAATCCTCTCCGGCTATTTGGTATCCTGACTCCGGTGTTTCCGCTCACATGACTGCTAATGAAGGTATTTTAGTTAATAAATCTAGTTATTCTGGACCACTTTCTATTACGGTTGCAAATGGCTCTACTTTACCTATTATGACTATTGGTGATCAGCATCTGTCTACTCTGCCTCGATCTATTCACATTTAAAATCGGTTTTTCATGTTCCTCATCTTAAATATAATTTACTATCTATTCAAAAGTCATGTGTCGATAATAATTGTTTTGTGATATTTGATAAAAACTCTGTTTGTGTTAAGGACCAAATTTTGGGGAAGGTGTTTCTTCAAGCTTCCAGTAATGGTGGTGTCTACCCCATCTCTCTTTCTCCCTGTTCGTCTGTTGCTCTTGTTTCTCATGTTGCTCCTGGACCTGTCTGGCATCGACGTTTGGGACACTGTGGCAGTCGTATTTTAGACAGACTTAGGAAGAATGGAACTATTCTTAGTACTTCAAGTTTTTCTCATGATTGTATTTCTTGTCGCTTAGGAAAATCACAAGGATTACTTTTTCAGAAGTTTGGCATAAATCTACTGCTCCGCAATTTTTTATTCATTCAGATGTTTGGCAATCCCCTGTTCTTTCTGCAAGTGGCTTTAAATATTACGTTTTATTTATTGATGATTTTCTCGTTTTACATGGCTTTATCCTATGCGTCGTAAAAGTGAAGTTGTGAGTCATTTTAGACATTTTAAATTAATGGTGGAAAATTTATTTAATTCTAAAATTAAAATTTTTCAAAGTGATGGAGGGGGTGAGTTTGATCATCATAGTATGCGCGAAATTTTTCTTAGCAATGACATTTTGTTTCAGAAATCTTGCCCAGATACTCCTGAACAAAATGGTGTTGTCGAGCGTAAACACAAGCATTTACTTGAACTGACTCGCACTATGCTTCTTGAGGCAAAAATGCCAGCCAGTTTTTAGGTAGATGTTATGTTTACTGCTACATATATTATTAATCGTCTCCCCACTCCAAATTTAGATGGTGCTTCGCCGTTTGAAAAATTATTTCACCACTCTCCCGACTTCTCTTTTATGCGTGTTTTCGGTTGTGCTTGTTTTCCAAATTTTATTGCCACCTCTGCCAACAAATTGTCTCCACGATCTATTTTGTGTGTCTTTTTGGGATATGCCCCTGAATACAAAGGTTATCGTTGTTTAGATCCTATTAGTGGAAAGATTTACGTCAATCGGAATGTTCGTTTTTATGAAAGTATTTTTCCATATTCCGACTTGATTTCTTCTTCCCAACCTGCTGCATTGCCACAGTTGTCTTCGACCGATTCTGTTCAGTTTCATGAGAGCACCTTACCTGCACCGTTTATGTCACGCCCCAGACCGCGTCTGTGCCACGTGGACAACCGTCGTACAACCCAATAAGAATAACCGCTGTTCATCCTGACCGAATTATACAAGACGTCCGAAAGATACATATGCCAAAACCTATTAGTAAACATACATAACAACATCAACATACAATCAAACACATAGCGGAATATAAGTGTTTATTAAGAACCCACACAAGGGTAAAACAAGAGCTCGCAGGCTCCATTAATTTATAAGTGAAAATAGTTCCATGAGCATTATTTAATTATTTAAAAATAGAACGAGAGGAAGCACGAACCACGTCTTCTCTCCATTGATCTCCCGAGCAACGGGTGCAGGAAGTAAGCTTTAGCTTCAACCTGAAAGGGTGGTTCCCCCGAGGGATCAGTACTACAGAAAAGTACTGGTGAGGGCAAATTGTATGTAATGTAACTAACGTTTCTCACGTAAGACCCTCAAAATAGGGTGATAGTATAATTATGGGCATAACTATTAGCTACCCTTTTTCAAAACAAAATGTATACGTATATACATATGAGTAAAATATCCGGCCCGTGAGCCCATTTGTCTTTCAAATCATTTAGGCGTAACAGCCTCATTAAATTCACCCTTCCCATGTCTTACCCTCGAGTGGAGTCACCCGCAGGCCAACTCACCCGATATCAAAATGTAATTACTGTGGGGCCCTTCGGACTCCCATATCACGGACATGGTTTAAATCAATTCCTAGACCAAGGAAAATATTCTATCGGAAACTTGTTCCCGATCAAGCACGTTTAATCATTTAAAATCATTACTTCGAGGTTCACCTACCTCGAGGACTATCCGTCCTTGCTATCATAGTTTTCATTTCCGGGTTAACCCCGCCTCGAGGAGTACGTATACACCCTCATCCTATGTGTAATTTACTGGAGGTTAACACACCTCAAGGACTACACGGGCCCTTGTTACCTATATGCACTATGATGGAGGTTAACACACCTCAAGGACTGCATTTGCCCTTGTTACCTATATGCAATTTGATGGAGGTTAAACACACCTCAAGGACTGCATTTGCCCTTGTTACCTATATGCAATTTGATGGAGGTTAAACACACCTCAAGGACTGCATTTGCCCTTGTTACCTATATGCAATTTGATGGAGGTTAAACACACCTTAAGGACTGCATTTGCCCTTGTTACCTATATGCACTTTGATGGAGGTTAAACACACCTCAAGGACTGCATTTTCCCTTGTTACCTATGTGTAATTTACTGGAGGTTAAACACACCTCAAGGACTACACTTGCCCTTGTTACCTTATCTTGCCTTGCAAGTTCCTTAACAATATAGTTTGTATCATCATACTCAAATTAACTTAGGGCTGACCTTTACCAAGGCTTCCCTCTTACCTCAAACCATGAATGGACCGCTCCGGGTCCAAGTCATGCTCATATAACTAGTGTCGGGTCCCGCCAGAACCCGAATTACTAATCAAGACATTTAAACTTAACAATTACATTACCGAACTTAGTCGTGATAACCCTCGGTCAACTATAGGTCAAATAAAATTTTAAAGTTGGTACCCAACTTAAGCTATCAACCCACGGGCTAGCCTCGCACCGACTACCCGCTCGAATTCATTGTTCGGAATTAAGTAGCTCCGACCGGCGCCGGACATTTCCCAACCGGCGCCGGACCTAGGCATGCATTACTCGGAAAACCGGCCCAGCCGGCGCCGGACATCAGTCCACCGGCGCCTTACTTGCTTCATTTGGCTGGCAAAAACACACGTAACCGGCGCCGGACCTGTGATAACCGGCGCCGGACTTTGCTGCTCCTAAAGGCCAAATCCGTATGTTTTGAACCGGGGCCGGACGTCTCCTATCCGGCACCGGTCAATGCCCGGTCAACGGCCGATAACTTTGGTCAACTCCCATTTGACCATCAAAACGGAGTCCGATTGCCACGAAATTTTATACACTTGTACAACAAGTCATTTTTAGTCCAAAAATATCATTTTGGACGTCCAAATCATCACACACAATTTATAATCATTTCTGTCCAAATTAAAGCATATAAAGTATACTTATTAATACTGTTGAGTTTAATCCAACACGATATAGTAAATATATGTATAAATGTGTATGAACAACTCAGTTTTTACGTGGAAACCCGAAAGGGAGAAAACCACGGGACTTTTTAGGCTAATGTCCAAGCCCTCTCTTTCTCATTAGGACTCTCCTCACAATTACATTGTACAAGCTCCCATTAATGGAGTATTTGAGCTATTCTAAAAGAAGGAGGAAGATGAAGCCCAAGAGGATCCCCAAAACATGGAGGGAAGCCTCATATTTATAGGGGAAAGGGGAAGGGTGCTCTCCACCCTAATGGGCCGAACGGGCCAATATTGGGCCTAATGGGCCGAAATGGGCCTAGCTGCTCGGGCTCCGTACTGGATGATGTCCTGGGCTCCTGAACAGTAATAGGCCGGGATAATATATCCCAACACAAGTCCCCCAGTTTCTTGAGTAGTGAGCTCGCGAATCTGCTCGAGAAAATATACTCTGCCTGCGCTCTTCCTCTGTCTTGTTGGAAACTGTGTCTTCGCATAATCATAATATATGGGTGAGTGTCTGCACTCCTGAACGTAATCTACCAGTGAGGCACCCCCGTTCCCGACGGGGTTGGGCGAAGGGTGCTCCTCCACGGGCACGCTCCCCCTGAATGCATCAGGCGAGAGTAAAGGACCCTGACTCGAGCTTTCCAACGGAGAAGCTTAGAGGTCCATGCATCTATAAACCGACGTCGCGGTACTGTCAAAACATGATGCACGTGTGTATGTATGAATGTATGAGGTATGATGCATGAATGCATGTAATGTATGGGTGCAATGTATGAGAGAGGGAATGTAAGATGTGATAGGAGCGGTAGCTCTCAATGAGAACTCGAGCATGTCAGCGCCGAGAGGCAGACATGCTGCATAAGAGACGTTCGTCGCCATCCTGAAAGGGATGGGCGACCCTAACGTGAGCCAGACACGATGGCGCTGGGGCGCTGATCGTGCTGCATAAGAGACGTTCGTCGCCATCCTGAAAGGGATGGGCGACCCTAACGTGAGCCAGATACGATGGCGCTCGGGCGCTGATCGTGCTGCATAAGAGACGTTCGTCGCCATCCTGAAAGGGATGGGCGACCCTAACGTGAGCCAGACACGATGGCGCTGGGGCGCTGATCGTGCTGCATAAGAGACGTTCGTCGCCATCCTGGAAGGGATGGGCGACCCTAACGTGAGCCAGACACGATGGCGCTGGGGCGCTGATCGTGCTGCATAAGAGACGTTCGTCGCCATCCTGAAAGGGATGGGCGACCCTAACGTGAAGCCAGGTACGATGGCGCTGAGGGGCCGATCGCACTGCATAAGACGGTCGTCGCCATCCTGGAGGGAATGGGCGAGCCGAACCGTGAAGCCATGTACGATGGCGCTGAGGGGCCGATCGTACTGCATAAGACGTTCGTCGCCATCCTGGAGGGAATAGGGCGATCCGAACGTGAAAGAGACACGATGGCGCTGAGGGGCCGATCGTGCTACATAAGACGGTCGTCGCCATCCTGGAGGGAGTGGGCGAGCCGAACCGTGAAGAAAGGTACGATGGCGCTGAGGGGCCGATCGTACTGCATAAGACGTTCGTCGCCATCCTGGAGGGAATGGGGCGATCCGAACGTGAAAGAGACACGATGGCGCTGAGAAGCCGATCGTGCTGCACAAGACGGTCGTCGCCATCCTGGAGGGAAAGGGCGAGCCGAACCGTGAAGTCAGGTACGATGGCGCTGAGGGGCCGATCGTACTGCATAAGACGTTCGTCGCCATCCTGGAGGGAATGGGGCGATCCGAACGTGAAAGAGACACGATGGCGCTGAGAAGCCGATCGTGCTACATAAGACGGTCGTCGCCATCCTGGAGGGAATGGGCGAGCCGAACCGTGAAGCCAGGTACGATGGCGCTGAGGGGCCGATCGCACTGCAGAAGACGTTCGTCGCCATCCTGGAGGGAATGGGCGAGCCGAACGTGAAAGAGACACGATGGCGCTGAGAAGCCGATCGTGCTGCACAAGACGGTCGTCGCCATCCTGGAGGGAAAGGGCGAGCCGAACCGTGAAGCCAGGTACGATGGCGCTGAGGGGCCGATCGTACTGCATAAGACGTTCGTCGCCATCCTGGAGGGAATGAGGCGATCCGAACGTGAAAGAGACACGATGGCGCTGAGAAGCCGATCGTGCTACATAAGACGGTCGTCGCCATCCTGGAGGGAATGGGCGAGCCGAACCGTGAAGCCAAGTACGATGGCGCTGAGGGGCCGATCGCACTGCATAAGACGTTCGTCGCCATCCTGGAAGGGAATGGGGCGATCCGAACGTGAACGGGACACGATGGCGCTGAGAAGCCGATCGTGCTGCATAAGACGGTCGTCGCCATCCTAAAGGGAATGGGCGAGCCGAACCGTGAAGCCAAGTACGATGGCGCTGAGGGGCCGATCGCACTGCATAAGACGTTCGTCGCCATCCTGGAAGGGAAATGGGGCGATCCGAACGTGAAAGAGACACGATGGCGCTGAGAAGCCGATCGTGCTGCATAAGACGGTCGTCGCCATCCTGGAGGGAATGGGAAAGACGAACCGTGAGTCTGGACACGATGGCGCTGAGGGGCCGATCGTGATACAGAAAAATAGTGATGATCATCTCATGGCCCTCGGCCTGTCGGTGAGTGGTAATCGTCTCACGGCCCTCGGCCGTGCTGGTGATGTGTCAAGTCTCTCTCCTGATTGGCTGTGAGAAGCCGATCGTCTGCCAAGACTCCATCCGGGAAGGAATGGTGAGCCTGAAATAAATCTGGGCGATGTCCCTTCTACCTGATCTGGGGGGCTAATCGTCGTTCGAAGCAAAAGAAAACCTGATGTTAGCCGATCGTCGTCGGCCACTTCATTCTTCGTACCTAAGTTTTGTAATTATTCTTTACATATGTTTTCCAGTTTGTACTTCACAGCCAATAGTGCCAAGGGATAAAATCATTCTTTGCTCCGTGCTCTTCTGGCATCTTTTTTTTTTTTTTTTTTTTTTTGGAGTCTTTTAGTCTTCGTTCGTCATTGGTCCTTGGTCCTACCGGCGTTCTTACATCGAAGATACGTTCGGTATCCGCGGACATCGCAATGAGGAACAGGTATATCTACATCGAGATTCCCCCTTTTTCGTTCGTCCCTGGTCCTTTTAGTCTTACCGGCGTCTCTTGCATCGAAGAAGACGTTCGGTACCCAAGGAACTCGCAGGGACGAACTGGTTTACCCTCACGGGTTCCCGTCTTTGTTATCCCACGTCCATCGATCCATGGTCATTGTGGGATAAACAGGTTTATCTTGGCAGGCTCCCTTGGTTCGTCTAGCCCCCTCCACGTCTCTACTAACCTCTACATCGAGAGGCGTTCGCCTTCGGCGGTGGGGGAAGATCTGGCACACCCGGGCAAGATTCCCTTCCGTATAGGAGCTACCCTCCTCTTCTCCCTATCTTTTTTTTTTTTTTTTTTTTTTTTTTTTGAGGGAGGTAATCTATGGTCTTCGTTCGTCCTTGGTCCTTGGTCCTACCGGCGTCCCTACTTCGAGGAGACGTTCGGTATCCGCAGACATCACAAGGAGGAACAGGTTTATCTGCATCGAGATTCCCTGGTGCTTCGTTCGTCCTTGGTCCTTGGTCCTACCGGCGTCCCTACTTCGAGGAGACGTTCGGTATCCGCAGACATCACAAGGAGGAACAGGTTTATCTGCATCGAGATTCCCTGGTGCTTCGTTCGTCCTTGGTCCTTGGTCCTACCGGCGTCCCTACTTCGAGGAGACGTTCGGTATCCGCAGACATCGCAAGGAGGAACAGGTTTATCTGCATCGAGATTCCCTGGTGCTTCGTTCGTCCGTCCCTGGTCCGTGGTCCTACCGATCTTCCTACATCGAAGAAGACATTCGGTATCCAAGAAACTCGCAGGGATCACGGGATGTCACACATAATGGTGGTGGCATACCAACACGAATAAAATGACGGGACGACGGAATAGCTGGTCGTCATGCGAAGGCGATGGTCACCCTCCTGGAGGGGAGGGGTGAGCCCGATCGCTGACTCAAGAAGGTCGGCATTGGGAGCCGATATACAATGATCATAATATCGCTGAGCAGTCGGTCTTGATAACGGAGATGGCAATAGTGTCCAGTCAGGCCGATATATCCGAGCAACGGCTCTCATCCAACGCAGCGCGGGGATGAAACCGGTCTTCAAAAGGTCCTCGTCCGCGGGGTGGCGGGGACGAGGCCGGTCTTCAAGAGATAAGCACGCCGAGCCGAGAGGCCGGTCGTGGTATAATGGTGTCGGCAATGAGCGGCCGATCTGAGAAAATCAAGCAACGGCCCTCGTCCGCGAGGGCGGGGACGAGGCCGGTCTTCAAAAGATAAGCACGCCGAGCCGAGAGGCCGGTCGTGGTATAATGGTGTCGGCAATGAGCGGCCGATCTGAGAAAATCAAGCAACGGCCCTCGTCCGCGAGGGCGGGGACGAGGCCGGTCTTCAAAAGATAAGCACGCCGAGCCGAGAGGCCGGTCGTGGTATAATGGTGTCGGCAATGAGCGGCCGATCTGAGAAAAACAGGCACGGTCCTCGTCCGCGAGGGCGGGGACGAGGCCGGTCTTCAAATATGATAATCACGCCATGCCGAGAGGCCGGTCGTGATATGATAATGTCGGCAATGAGATGCCGATCAAGATATGGTCAAGCAACGGTCCTCGTCCGCGAGGTGGCGGGGACGAGGCCGGTCTTCGAATATGGTAATCACGCCGGTCCGAGAGGCCGGTTGTGATATAATGATGTCGGCGATGAGAGGCCGAACATGATGAGGCAGTGTCGGCAATGAGGGTCGACCTGCAATCCAGCAACGGCTCTCATCGGCGCAGTGCGGGGACGAGGCCGGTCTTCAAAAGATAGGCACGCCAAGCCGAGAGGCCGGTCGTGGTACGACGGTGTCGGCAATGAGAGGCCGACATGAAAGAACCAAGCAACGGTCCTCATCCGCGCAGCGCGGGGACGAGGCCGGTCTTCAAAAGATGAACACGCCGAGCCGAGGGGCCGGTCGTGGTATGATAATGTCGGCGATGAGATGCCGATCAAGATATGGTCAAGCAACGGTCCTCGTCCGCGAGGTGGCGGGGACGAGGCCGGTCTTCAAAAGATAGTAATCACGCCGTGCCAAGAGGCCGGTCGTGATATAATGATGTCGGCGACGATAGGCCGACCTGAGATCCAGCAACGGTCCTCATCCGCGCAGCACGGGGACGAGGCCGGTCTTCCAATATGATGATCACGCCGTGCCGAGAGGCCGGTCGTGATATAATGATGTCGGCAATGATAGGCCGACCTGAAATCCAAGCAACGGTCCTCATCCGCGCAGTGTGGGGACAAGGCCGGTCTTCAAAACGATAAGCACGCCGTGCCGTGAGGTTGGCGTGATGTAAGGATGGTCCCACGACCCTCGGCCGTAGTGGTCTCCTCTAGGCCACCGGCTCTGAATGATGGATGGTCGTCTCACGGTCCTCCGCCGTGGTAGTCCACTCTAGACCCTCGGCCTCTAGGTGTTCTCTCCTAGGCCATCGGTCTCTGGGGTGGAAATGCTCGTCTCACGGTCCTCAGCCGCGATGGTCTCCTCTAGGCCCTCGGCCCCTGGGTGGAGATGTTCGCCCATCGGCTCTCAGCCGTAATGGTCTCCACTTTAGCTGGCCCTGGACGTCTTCAAAACTCGGGCCGAGCGTCTTTTAATCATTTCGCTCGAGCGCGTCGAGCGGGTTCAGCTGCGCAATAAGCATGGTAACGGGCCGCACGGCCCGACAATATGTATACACACATAACCATTTGCATGGCTTTATTTCTAACACCCACGATTACCGGCCTATGGGTCATCGTGACCCTCGGCCCGGCTCATCGTGCGGGACTAAAGGATGCAGCAGCTCGCGGCGGGGCCAACTGGCAGCCCGCCGAACGTCACATAGAGATATTCATCGGTCTATGAGTTTTCAAACTCAGACCCAAGTTAGTCGCACTGCCCTCAGAAAAAGGAGGTTGGGTGCTTTGGTGCCTTCGGGCCCCACAGGCCACGTTTGGCAATAGTCACTTCGCGCTTAATGGCGTAGATTGCATTGGGGTATGATCGTCGATCGGGCACGTAGCGCCGTGTGGACTAATGCGCAACCCTCCAATTAAAATGCGTCGTCGGGGCATCGCCCTTCTGGGGACGCTCGGATCATTTAATCAAGCTGATCAAGAGTGGGCCGACAGGCCCACAAGAAATTAAATATTCAACAAAATGTTGGCTGAACCAACCACCACTAGGGCTTCGCTCCACATTCTTTAATTCGGGACATTTTTATCCCTCAATAAATAATAGTGGTGTAACAGGTAATAGCAGTGATATTTTCCTATCAAAGGCCATTCAGGTATGCTCCGTTCGCTAATAAAAGTCGATCAGGAGCGGGCCGGTGGGCCCACAACAACCAGTCATTAATTAAAATGACGGTGAAATTAAATATCACTAGAGCTTTACTCATCTGAGCTTGCTCGACATTATTTAATTTCGGGAAAAATTTACTCCCTTTTAAATAATGGTGATAAAAATACTAGCAATACTAATATTTTAATTAGTTAACTATTAAATGTACCAACTTGAAAATAGCATATGTACTTAGCTGTTGGAGATAAAGCTTCGGCCAGCTTTTGGAGATAAGCATATGTACGTAGGATTGTGGAGTCACATTTGGTCATCCCTCTCCAATTTTGACTTGGTCAAAATTGCTCCAACCTTTACCCGTCTGGCAACCATTAGTCCGTGGATGTGGTCTTCTGAGAACCAAGTTAAAATGACCGGTACGCAGCACTCCGCATCACCACCCCAAGGACAGTCTGCCAGCGTCCGCCACTTTACCGAGGGAGGTATGCAGCGGAGCAAGGAAGGCCACAGGGTCCGGTTTCGTGGGAGACCCGCTAAGCTTCGAATCTACCTTCTATGAGCTCCAAACCGCCGTCAATGGCGGAAATCTGGGAGGTCCCCGTCGGCAGCGAAGTGTGGAGTCGAGCAGTGACTGCAGGTGCTATGAGGGAGATCGATGGGAAAGCAGGCCTCGAGCGGCAACCGGAGACCTTGTGATGGAGGCGGAGGGGAGAGTTGCGGCCTGCGAGAAACGGCCGGCGTGGGCCATCACTCTGAGTCCACCGGCAGGCATGGCTATCCTCTCAAATAACAGTATGTGAACCGATGGCAGCTGCGAGCTCTGGTTGATGGCAGCTACCATGGACGGTGAAAGCAGCTTCCGTTGGATCTGGCCAACTTCAGAGATCCCAGACTAATTATTTCCTCGTCCTTGCTAAAGCCCCAGATCCTCTGGAAGACATATTTTTCCTCACTGAGAATCAGTCCATTTTCGAATGAATTTTGTTGTAGAAACTGAAGAACAACGTGAATCTTTTTGGACAGATTCCCACAGACGGCGCCAGTGTTGAGTTTAATCCAACACGATATAGTAAATATATGTATAAATGTGTATGAACAACTCAGTTTTTACGTGGAAACCCGAAAGGGAGAAAACCACGGGACTTTTTAGGCTAATGTCCAAGCCCTCTCTTTCTCATTAGGACTCTCCTCACAATTACATTGTACAAGCTCCCATTAATGGAGTATTTGAGCTATTCTAAAAGAAGGAGGAAGATGAAGCCCAAGAGGATCCCCAAAACATGGAGGGAAGCCTCATATTTATAGGGGAAAGGGGAAGGGTGCTCTCCACCCTAATGGGCCGAACGGGCCAATATTGGGCCTAATGGGCCGAAATGGGCCTAGCTGCTCGGGCTCCGTACTGGATGATGTCCTGGGCTCCTGAACAGTAATAGGCCGGGATAATATATCCCAACAAATACCATTAATAAGTAAATATTGCCTTAATACCTTCTTGGATGTATTTTAACATTTCATGGAATACCCTTTTGATTTATTTGAGTAATCTCATATTTGGTTCACAGCTATCTATGGAAGTACATTGAGAGGAGGACTCTTTGGCATTTTTTGGAGGATTGGGCTATGGCTAATAAGTCTCCTTGGTTTGTGGGAGGGGACTTTAATGCCATAGCTGGTCCGGGGGAGCACAAAGGTCATTCTATTCCTGTTCTGAGTAGCATGAATGATTTCAAGGATTGCTTGGCTACTTCTGACTTGATTGACTTACCATTTCATGGTACCCCTTTTACCTGGACTGGAGTTAGGGCTAACGGAAGGGTTTGGAGAAGACTTGATCGTATTCTTTTTAATAACTCTTTCTTGAGCCTTTATGATAGCATCCAGATTCAACACCTTAATAAAACATCTTCAGATTACTCTCCTATCCTGTTACATTGCAAAAATCAATTAGTAGCTGGTCCCAAGCCATTTAAGTTTCAGAATATGTGGGTTTCCCATCCCAACTTTATGCAGGTTGTTAAAGAGGCTTGGCAGTCTTTTCCTAGTTCTGGAGGAATGAGGGGCCTCTATAATAAGCTCCAATCTCTTAAACAGATTCTTAAATCTTGGAACAAGATTAGCTTTGGTGATATTTTCCAAGATATTAAGAAATTGGAGGAAGAAATTAACGAAGCAGAAATATTGTTTGAGTCTAACTCCTCGGAGGCCAATAGGGAAAATTGGTCCTATAAACAGGCTCTTTTATTGTGAAAAGACACAAGCAGAAGAATGAGTTTTGGAAACAAAGGGCTAGACTTAAATGGTTATAGGATGGAGACTCCAATTCTAATTTCTTTCATGCTTATGTGAAGGTTAAAAGGAGGTTGCAGGCTATTACCGTTATTAAAGATTCTGCTGGGAATCTGTGTACTGATCCAGATGCTATTGCCCAGACTGCAGAAAGCTACTTCCAGGCTATATTTGCTGAAGAAGAGGTTCAAGATGTGGACTCCATTCTGCATTTCATACCTGCATTGGTTAACAGCAATGATAATCACATGTTAATGATGTTACCTACCTCAGAAGAAATTAAAGGGGCAGTTTGGGACTTAGATAAAGATAGTGCAGCTGGTCCTGATGGATATAATGGGGTCTTTTTCAGGAATTGTTGGCCAATTGTTGGGGCTGATGTGGTTTTGGCAGTGCAGGATTTTTTCCAAGGAAATGTGATTCCTAAGGCTATGGGAAGCTCTCTTATTACTCTAATTCCTAAAAGAGATAAAATTTCTTCCTTTTCTGACTTCAGGCCTATTAGCCTTTCTAATTTTATTAGTAAAGTTTGCACTAAACTTCTGGCTACCAGGCTTATGTCTATCTTGCCAAAGTTGATATCTATTGAACAGGCTGGTTTTATGAAAGGGAGAGATATCTCAGATCACGTGTTAATGGCACAGGAGATGATTAACTCTATTGATAGGAAGGTAAGGGGCACTAATATCATTGTAAAGTTGGATATGGCAAAAGCTTTTGATAGACTATCCTGGTCTTTTTTACAGGCTGTTTTAACCAAATTTGATTTCTCTAAAGAGTTTGTTACCTTGGTAATGAATCATTTAAAGGCAACCCATTTCTCTGTCATTATTAACGGCTCTCCTAAAGGCTACTTTCAGCCTCAGAGAGGAGTTAAGCAGGAGGATGCCCTCTCCCCTTATCTCTTCATCCTTGCTACTGAGGCTTTATCTAGAGGATTAAAAGTTTTAATGTCGTCTAATCAGATTAAACCATTCTTGATTGGGCCTACAGGATATCCTATTTCTCACTTATGTTATGCTGATGATATCCTAATTTTTCTGAATGGGGATGCTAGATCTATTCAGAGATTTAAAAACTTCTTGGGTATATATCAAAGGACTTCTGGTCAGGCTATCAACTTTGGAAAAAGTAATTTTTGTTGTGGGAAAACCTCCCTGGCTAGAATTAGGAATTTGGAGAGGCTCTTTGGTCTGACTAAGATCAATTTGCCCATGAAATATCTTGGATCCAACCTGCACAAAGGAATAAATAGAAAGAGCTATTGTCAACATATCCTGGAAGCTTTTGACAATAAGCTGACAACCTGGAAACAAAAACATCTATCTTTTGGGGGAAGATTGGTGTTGGTTAAGCATGTACTTAATACTATTCCTCTTCATCTATTGGCAGTAGATACTTTTCCCAAAAATATTATCAGAAACTTGGAAAGGAGGATGTCTCATTTCTTATGGGGTAGCAGTGCTCACAAGTCTAAGTTTCATTGGATTAAATGGAAGGATTTATGTTTACCTTATGAAGAAGGTGGATTGGGATTAAGATCTCTTTTGGATATTGAAAAGGTGTTTTCCTTAAAGCTGTGGTGGAAGTGGAGGAACAATACCTCTGGGTGGGCGCAGTTTTGTCACTAGATACCCTAGGGGGACAAATATGATTCCTAAAGCTACTGATTCGGCTATTTGGAAGAGAATTTGTCTGATAAATTAGTTGGGGTAAGCATTATGTACTCAAGATGATACTGGGGATCTCCTTTGGTTACATGAAACCAATGGTCGATTCAGCCTATCATTTGCATTCCATGAGATTAGAAGATCTAAGCTTGGTACCTTCTCATTCAGACATTCCTGGAACAAGTTTCAGAAGAGTCAGATACAGATTTTCCAATGGAAACTACTTCACAAAATACTCCCTTTCCCAGATAATCTACAGAGGTTTAACATGCAAATATTCCCAACTATGTGCCCATTTTGTAAGCAGGACTCTGAATTCATGGAACATGTGCTGCTTAGATGTCCTTTTAGTTGGGCTATTTGGAAATACTTTCTGGGAGTTTTCCAAATTCCTCACCCTGTTTATTCAATCTCTTTGAGGCAAATGCTTATTGCTTGGTGGTTAGAGGCGGGGTCTAAAAGCTTAATTGATGTGTTTAAACATAATATGGCTGGGATTATAGCCTGGCACATTTGGAAGGCTTACAGTCAGATCAAATGGGGGAGTGGAAAGGAGGTTAATTATCTGTATCTTGTTAATCAAATCAGAAATTATACACAACTTTGGGCTGAAGCTAAATTATCAGATCTTAAATTAGGCACACCTACTCCTATTTTATATGAAGAAAAATTACTGAGCTCTTCTTTCAGGAATAGGAGACCGAGGATTCAGGTAATGAAATGGAAGTTACCTTCTCTTGACTACAAATTGAGTGTGGATGCTTCGTTTCTCCCAGTTCGTGCGAGTGGAGGTGCTGTTCTTCGTTCAAAATCAGGTGAATTTCTTGTTGGCACATCCTTTCCTCTTTCGGCTATATCAGTAATGGAGGCGGAGCTCATGGGAGTTTATAAAGCCGTCGCCTGGCTGTTAGAAAAGGGATATCACGACTTTGAAGTGGAGATGGATGCTAAAGCTGTGGTTGAGGCTATTCTTGATGGAAACCCAGGAGGTAGATGGAGGAAGCAGCTCGAAGATCTCAGAAGGTGGAGAGTTGAGTTTCGCCTTATCTTCAGACATATTATGAGGGAAGTCAACAGGCCTGCACATTTTCTGTCTAAAATTGATTCTTCTGATCAGATAATTTATTCAAATATCCAACATCTCCCTAATCATATAAGATATGCTATTATTGCAGATAAATTGGGTTTAAGTTATACGCGAACCTCCTGAATAATTTTTCCCCTTGTATTTTTTTGGGTCAGGTCTAGCCCCCCCAAAAAAAAATTCATTTTGTTGCGTTTGACTTTTCAGTTTCTTGTATTTTGCAGAGGAATGCCTCTGAGGAGAAGTTTTGATTTTGTCCCCTTCTCTTTTTGTACTTTTTTTTATCTTTCAATAAAACCTCGGAAAATGTTCCCCGGCATTTGCCCCACTGATTTTGGTGGTTTGCCTTCCGGGTTAAAAAAAAATCGAAAGTATCAGTTGTCTCAAAATAATCCTAATTATTGGAAAATTATCTCAAAATGGTCCCATGACTCATAAATATTATAAGTCATTTATGGGTTAATATAAATTACTGGAGTATTTTAATTTTATTTCAATAGTTGGGATTATTTTGAAAATATTGATACTTTGAATTATTTTAATCATATCATTAATAATTGAGATTATTTTTAAAAAAATCAATACTTTGAATTATTTTAACCATATCACAAATATACTCCATATAGTACAGTTAAATTGTTTAGAGAATAGTGGTCGTCTCTTAGGGTTTGCGCCGCTAGGTTGAGTTTTCCATTTTTGATCTTCCGATCGAAGAACGGTGGTTCGATGGGCTTGCGATTAGCAATCGACACTGCAAGGCTCGGCTTGATGATTTAGGGAAGGGGGTGAAGCTTCGTTTGGGTCCAGGGTACTGGGTGAGTCGAGCTTCTGGTTTCGGCCGAGGAAGAGGGGAGAGGAGAGCTCGAAGGGCTTGGGCTTCGAGATCGAAGGAGGACAACTGCAGATGGAGATGAATGGAGTCGGTAAGCAGGGGATTGGCGATCAATTTCACGCAGATGAGGAGAGCCGAGCAGTGCAAGGTACGGACAAATTCCAAGAGCAGATCAGCGGTGAACAAAAGGACAAGAACGAATTGGCGATTGATGATTATGAAGAAGAGGCGGTCAAGTCGGAGGAGAACCGCTTTGGTGCAATAACAATCATTGCGAGGGTCCGGCCTCCTCTAGAACCACCGCCAAGGGTTGATAGACGCGTTTTGAAGTTTGTTTATTTATCTTTTATGCATTTTAATTTCCAAGTTAAAACGTTTGTGTGTTGTTGTTATTTTATTTTATGCTTTAAGAATCTTGCATTAGGTTTGGGAGATGAGAGGTCTACGGTAATCGTCGTTAGCTTTATATTGCTCATGTTAGGTCTAGCGAGTTATATTGTTTTGTCAAAGGTGATTAACTCAGAGTCTCGACCAATGACGGATGGTTACATGTGATCCTTTCACGTTCTAGTACCCCTGCTGAATGCTATTTTAATGATATAAACATCTTCGATAAAAAAAACCATATCAGAAATATTTGGGATTATTCTCTCCATTCAACCAAAATTAGACATAAGGAACATGGATGAAATGTAAATTATATTACCACCCAAGCAAAAATAACATTTGCAATGTGTCCAAAAATCTAACCCCCACCCCATCCTAGTTTGTGAGAAAAGGAGCATGTGATACAAGTATATGCCACTGGCCCGTACAAAGGCCCATTTTTGTTGACCGCTCCCTTTCAACTAGGTGATCAACATATATCCTCACGATCGCCCAGTCATCTTCTGTAGCCAGTCGGCCATTTTCGCCGTCAACGGCGTATTCCTCTGCCACGTGCACCTCCCGTGGTACCTTGTCTGCTGTACCTGCACGCCGGAAAAGAAACTCTGATTACCATCTTTCAGAGTCACTACTCAGCTAGGTAAGCTAAATTAAAATTTAAATTTCAGATTTTGTTCAAATTAGAAAATATTTCAAATTCAATTATCAATTGACCATTTTTTGCTCAATTAATAAGTTGTAGTTTTCTGAAATTTCAATTATTGAAATTTAGGAACAAAGGAATTGTAAAAAATTCTGCACACCCTTCTTTATTCGATCGTTCCCACTTCAGGTCTATATCTTGTTTTTTTTTTTACTTTTCAATTCAATCTTATGTCTTCATTTTATGGTCTTGAACTTATCACGTTCTCTAATTTCTGCCCTGTATAAAAAACACTTGTTCAGTTGTTCATTATTTTTAACCCAACTTCTAATGAGAAAAAGTGATAAAATATGTTTAGGTCCGGTTTGGTAGTTCACACATTAAAACTTTACATGCAAAATGATTGCATGTAAAGTCTAGGGCAGTAAAATAGTTTGCATTTAAAATAAAAATGCATTGTTTGGTAATCTATATTTAAATTACACGCGGGTTCTTTACATTGTTTGTTTAGAAAATAACTTGACATGTAAAATATTTAAAAATGACTAGATAGCCGATTCACCAAATTTAACATATGTGTACTGCTCGCTAGGAGAGAGTAGTGTGCAAAAATGGAGTAATCACTAAAAACTTTAAGCCTTTATTTCAAGCAGCACAAAACCAAAAGATTTAATTTTCAAATATTATATATATATATATATATATATATATATATATATAATACGTACTCCCTCCATCCCGAAAAGGTTGGCCAAATTTCCTTTTTTGGATGTCCCAAAAAGATTTGACATTTCCATTTAAAGTAAGGAATATGTGGCTAAAGTTAATTCTCTCTCATCTGTACAAATTTCAACCACACAGTTTTTACTTTATTAATCCACGTGAAACTCAACTTTGGGCCTTTGGCCAACCTTTACAGGACGGAGGGAATAGTATAATAAATCAAATTGCAGAAGCTACCCGTTGGTTAACGTGGAGTGTAGAGCAGATTTGATGAGAAGTTGATTCTATTTCTTATATACGAATATAATCGAGCCTTCAACGTATACGGAGTAGCAGTCTAGGTTAGAAATCGTTATTCAATACTCCGTATTTATTCTGCCTCATATAAACCGAAGTAATCTAGTTTACCACCCTCCCCCCAAGTAAAATATTTTACATAGTACCGTGTAAAATGTTTTTAAAAAAGTGTCCTACAGTTTATATTAAATATTTCAACCAAACGGTTTAAAGTGTTTACTTCCCTACACTTTACAAGCAAAGTGTTTACTTTACACTGTAACAAACGGGCCCTTAGGTGTGCACTGTTTTCAACTTGCATTGCAAAGACGGTTGTCGAATTAATATATCAATGTGATTTTATTAGAATACAACTTTGTTGGCAACTTTTTATAAATAACATTGAAACCATTCTTGTTGTTAACAGGGGCGATCAGTATCATTTATGTTTGATAAGCAAGTCACCAAGAAATTGGATAACAATAAATGTTTCTAGAGAATATCTGAAAATGAGTAATTGGAATATACCATATATCATTATCAGAGCAATGTGGTTGGTGACTTGTTTAACTAAATTAGAAATAGTATTGAAGTATTAACCCCATTGTTTTTAATATGAGAATTACTTGTGAGGATCTTTTTAATATTATATAATTTATCATATGATGTGGTGGATTGTTGTAGAGTTGACTTTGTGATCTTTTCTATTTGACTTTAATGAAAACTTCTATTCATGTGAAATATTTGTAAAATTTCTTTTTGTATTTTACCTTGTTGCAATTGAAGTTATTGTATATGTATTAATTTATTGGCCAACCCTCAATTCAAATGCTAGATCCTCCCCTGGATAGTTGCCTACTACCCTAATGGGCTCAACAAGTCATACAAATTCTAAATCTTTTAACTTTTTTGCACACATAAATTCTAACATGATATGCACATCATTAGTGGAAAAATCTACACATATTACTTGAAAAGGCACACAACTCTCTTACGCAAACAATAGCATTGGTATTATGAGAAGTTTTATCAGAACAAAAGGCACCACTTTTTTAACCAAATGACCTAAAATTCTTTCAAATAAGAAAGGAAAAAAATTCAATTCATTGTTTAAAACTATTCACCAAAGACTTTAAAAATCACAGATGCAGATTTCGTTAATTTTTTTTTATTTCATACTAATTTTCATTGAACTTTTTCTTCAAGAAAATATAATAAATATCATCAAATTAACTAGTATTATAAATATTAAAAATTTAAAAAGTTATGATTTATTAAGTCCTAAGTTTATAGTCTTAAATGATCTGGCCCTATATTGGTAATTTCATCATACCGATCCTCAATTGATAGCTAGTCTATCTTTAGAGTCCTTGGTTAAAGAAAACCGTTTAGACAAAAGTATTTTGAGTTCAGTAAAATCAAGAACTCTTTTATGAATTGTAGTGACAAACAAGAGCAATGAAAGACATGTTATGATGTATGTCGGTCCAAATATCACTATAAATACTAGCGTGTCCATTGAAATTTGAATTTCTAGTATTATACTCCCTCCGTTCCACAAAATTCTTCCCGATTTGACTTGGATCGGTGTTTAAAAAAGTGGGAATAAAGTGAAAATGTATGGTTGTAATTGAGTAAGAAAAAAGTAAATGAATGTGAGTCATACAAAACTTTTAAAAAAGGGAAATAGGGAAAAAAATTGGGACATCCCAAAAGGGTAAGTGGGAAGAATTTTATGTGAATGAGGGAGTATTATTTAGGATGTTTTCTTTTGGACTGAAATTTGTTGGTCTGGTCCGGTCTAGTCTGAACTGGTCTGGTAAACGTCTGATCTCTGTGTAATTTATAACTACGAAAGTCTAGTCTGGTCTGAACTGGTTTGGTAAACGTCTGAGCTTTGTGTATTTTATAACTACGAAAGTCTAGTCTGGTCTGGGACTGTAAACAGTCCAAAAGAAAACATCCTTAAATCACATTTTTCCAACAAAACTTGGTGCTTTAAATTTAAAGCAGTTTGATAGTAATGAACAAAATCCCACTTTCAGAAAACATAGTAGGTAATGTTTGGATCCACACATTGGAACAAACTACTCTCACTCAAAGGTTATCCATCCTTGTCTTTCCAGTTTCCAACTTCCTTCCAAACTAAGTCCATCAACTTGACTAGAGGGGTTAACGTACGGGCCTAATTCGTTGGACTCAAGCCCAACCCTGTTTCTTTCTTCCATTACTGACTGCTGTTCCTTACAAAGGATTCCATGATTTGCGCTCTGGCCTCCTCCTAGGCTCCTATATCCCACAAATCACCGCCTTTGTTTCTTATCCAGTCAGGTAATTCTTTTGTACCCCGCCTATCTCTACCATTTACAACCTTCTTAGATATTCTCAAACAAAATGATGTATTAATAATTTGCGTAGGTGGGAGCCTTTGCGGCACTGGGGAAATGATGATGATGATGATGATGATGAATAATTTTTTTTGTCAGTTTTCTAATATATTATCAGCATCCGTTTTCACATAACTAACTTTTATTTTCAGCTTATTAGCCTTATCAATCAACTTCTTTACCAAACACGTAATTGTTGTGTTCGCGCACTGAGTTGTGTAATAGTCAAAGTAAGTAAGGTTGAAGTTACTTTTACGATTGAATTGGCTGAAGTTATTGTAGTCTGTAGAGGACCGTTTTAGCTATTTTCATATATTTTAAATATAATATTTCAATAATTCAGTCGCTATGACTAGAATTTCATTAATTCAGTGGATTCAGCCAAACAGGCTCTAAATGTCTTTTTTATTTCCGGGTCCACTGCATTAGGAAATCTGCATTTTCTGTCAGGAATCAGGATTATTGATTTGGCAGATTTTTTTTATGCAGAGAATACTCAATTGCTGCTATGGAAAAGCAAACAACTTTTTTCAATATATAGAATTAAAAAAGGAGCTATCATTATTGTTGTAGTTAGACTTTTTCCATGAACAGCTCTTTTTGAACAATTCTCATTTAACACTGTAAATTTATGTTAAGCAACGTAAGATAAACTAAAGCAAGTTATAAATGTTTGACAGTTTTGGTGAGGAAATTGGCAGAGCAAGCTGCATGTTACAATATGTGTGTTTATGTGTGCATATATATATATATATATATATATATATATATATATATATATATATATAGAGAGAGAGAGAGAGAGAGAGAGAGACACACACACAAACACACACACAAGGGCATTAATTTACTGTGATAGGAAAAATCTGAGAATTCTTCTAGTAGTGCACCAGAGAAATGAATAGGACTTAGCTTGATGAATGATGCCTCCTCAAGGGCTTACGCACAAAGGCGAAGTACATGAATTTTTTGGTTCTGAATCAATTAGATAAGTTGTTAGAAAACTCCAACTCTAGTCTTACAGATCACAGAATTGGTTCAAGAAATATCTCAAAGGCAACTTTTATTCTCAAAGGCAACAATGGCCGAAGGCCTAAGGCAACAATCTCATTCTTACAGCTTACAAGTCAATAACCGTCCCCTTACTACTCCCAGCCTTATTCTATTTATAGTCAGTAAGACTAACCCCTGGTAGTAATTAGCTCATAACCGACTTGACTAATAACAACCCTATTTCTTACTGGAATACATTTTATTGAAGTAGTTATCTCTTATCTTCATATTAGTAAAGTCTCTATCATAAGTTATGTCCTTTGGTATGACTTATGATACCATATATATCCGTAAGGATGAAAAAATGGGGGATATTGATATTATGGTGGTAATGGAGATTTGAATTGTAGACTTTGTTTGGATGGAGGGTTTTGAAGGGAAGGGCTTTGATGCACTTCGTTTATATTTGACATTTTGTGAAAATTGAAAGAAAAACATATGTGATTGTATAACAGTTTTTAGAAACAATATATTTATCAAGAAGACGAAGAAGATGAGGAATGAGCATTTCTTAAACGAATCTAGAAGCATGAAGTTTATGTGCTTGGTTTTTCTTTTCTGTTTACATCAGTTCGGATGTTACCTGCCACCTTGATACCATTATCTTTAAATGATTTTGGATACTATGTGTTAAAAAAAATGGACTTTGCCCTCCAACCCCATCAGCCCATCCTCCCTTCAAGATCTGCAATCCAAATCAATCGCTAGGGAATCATGGTGTGTGCCTTTTCAATTCCTCATTGATATAGAACCATCCTCCATTTAAAAGGATGTTGCTGGCCTTCTCCTTATTTAATAGTTGACTCATTGATATGGGACTAATCCTGTCTGCGATCTCATAAGATGTTGCATCTTATGGAATTTGCATCTTTATCCTAGTGGTGAAGTAGATGTTTAATTTTTCTTTTTTTTGCTTTCCAACAGATTGATATAAGAAGCTGCACAACAAAAACAGATTGGTAAAGGAATGTGTTTCCAGTAAATGAACTCATTTTTTCCATCAATCAATGATTGCCATGAAACTACTTGCATCTTTCACATGCTCCAGCAGGGCACTTCGTGTTAGAATAAAAGGACATTTGCAATCACGTTCATTCCAACCTGATTTTGCCCCAAGAGATCCCAATGTGAAACCTATAAAATACAAATACCCTACAGTATATGATCCATACGGGCCTAGACCCCCACCGTCCGATAAGATTATGCAACTTGTAGAACGCATTGCATCCCTAACACCTGATGAGCGCAAACAAATTGGGCCCATGCTCAGAGAGAGACTGAAGCTTCCCATGCTGAAAGCCATTTCATCAGAAGAAGGCATTAGTGGTGGGGCTGGAGTGGGACAAGGCGGGCCTGCGAAGACGGAAGAGAAGAAGGTGGAGAAGACGGCATTTGATGTGAAGCTAGAAAAGTTTGATGCGGCTGCAAAAATCAAGGTGATCAAAGAGGTGCGTTCATTCACCAGTTTGGGGTTGAAGGAAGCTAAGGAGCTGGTGGAAAAGGTGCCTGCCGTACTAAAGCAAGGAGTCACCAAAGAGGAGGCAAATGACATAATCGAAAAGATCAAAGCTGCTGGAGGAATTGCAGTTATGGAATGATTAGTAATAGCAAGTAGTCCATCCTGATACCGCTTTACGCATATGCCAGGTCATCATTATGTATTCCGGACAGAATGAGCTTTTCCTTTCATGAAATTCTACTGCCTTCTGCAATTTCCAGAGAATTAAAGAACAGTATTCAGGGGCGAAGGCCAGGTCACTGGCATGCCCCCTACCTCAGGGAGATGATTCTTATTTAGGTTGTTCTTGGGGGTATTGATTAAAAGAGAATCAGACAATTACCACATAATAAGCTGGTTTTGAAATTAAAACCTGTTGTGGAACCTTTTTATTTCTAATGTAATGAATAATTTACGGGTGAATTATCTAAATAGGAGTAAATGGTACCTAAAAATCACAAATTTGACTATATTGCTTTAAAATTCCTAAATATGTGTGTTTGGACAAATATACCTTTGTATCTTTTTGGACTAAAATAAATATTTAATAAAATTGATAAAAATAAAAGTTTTGACAAATCATCATTTTCATTTCCATTTACCCCAGTGCCGCAAAGGCTCTCACCTACGGTGGGGTAAGGGGGAGTCGGATGTACGCAGTCTTACCTTTGTACTAAAGCACAAAGATAAAAAAAAGTTATAATAATAAAAAAATAAATTCGTAAAAAAATACAGGCCTTTGACGCCCACCTCTCCCACCCCTAGAACCGCCACCACTAGCTCTGATCACCAAAAAAATATTTCATAATTCAAAGAGTAATAAACCCCACCGTAGGTGGAAGTCTTTGCTGCACTGGGGTAATGACGATGATGATGATCAAAGAGTAATAATATCCCACACAATGGATTTTTTTCCACTGATCAGAGAATTTTTTACATGCGACTCGTACTGAAGGGTAAATTGTTAATGGCCCTTCAGTCTTTACACTAAGACACGTGGGAAATCACACGTCATCATGTCCACGTACAACGCCAACTCAACAAGGAGTTGGGAAACCGATATTTGACCTGCGAAAAAACATATTTGAAGAAAATAATATACTTGAAGGACATACTGAAGAAACTTAAAGAGGGTTCAATTGAATTTTTATACAGTGAGAAAGTCGATTTAACGCTTTTATCGTTAAAATTTGATCTCATTCTTACCCAAAGTCAAACCCCATCACGGTCTTCATTCTTAAATAATCTCAATATAGTCCCAACTAATAGGGATCGTAACCGAGTGAGTATTATAATCTCAAACATGCACCTGACTATGGATAGTCCTAACTCCAGCTGACTATACGGCTTGCACCATATAACTAGTGGCATTTTGGTAATTTAAGTGAAATTCACGACTTCCACTAAATGAACAATAATGCACGTTTAATTGGCATCAGATATATTCTACTAAGGCTCTGTTAGCAAACCCAATTGAGAAGTGCTTTTAACTTTTTTAAATGATTTGGTAAAAAAGTGATTAATAGTAAAAATTGGTAGTGTTTGAGAAAAAAGTGATTTTGAAATGTAAAAATTAGGCTTTGTTTGCAACCACTTATGAAAAGTGATTTTGGCTTTTTTTTAAGAAAAAAACACTTATTTTACCAAACACTACCAACTTTTACTTTTTCGGCTTCTGTGTAGAATCTACTTTTTACTTTTTCTATTACACAAACAGCACTTATATTACCAAACACTACCAACTTTTACTACTAATCACTTTTTATCAAAAAGTGTTTTTATTTAAGCACAAGTGATTGCAAACAAAGCCTTAGGAGATGTTTACTTCACTGCTAAAGTCACAGTTAGGTTAGTAAGACAGGTGAAGTAAACACGCACACTGCTTCAAAAGCCGCTAACTAACCGAAAGAGGTGCTTAAAGTGTCGCTTATTAAGCATACCACCCCCCCATGTATTAATTAAGCGGCACTTTAAGCTTTTTCAGTTTCCGAATTTACCCCTTGCCCTTAACCTATTGTTATCCCTGCCCCACCTCGACCCCAACCCCACCCTACCCGGACCCCCTTACCCCACCTACCCCGACCCTACCCCCGACCCCACCCCACCTACCCTACCCCCGACCCCACCCCACCTACCCTACCCCACCCCGACCCGACCCCCGACCCCACCCCTACCCTACCTAACCGACCCCCACCATACCCTTACCTACACCGACCCTACCCCTACCTACCCGACCCCCCTACCACTACCTCGACCCCACCCTACCCCTACCTTACCTGTCCGACCCCACCCTACACGTACCCCCCACCTTACCCCTACCCTACCCCATTACCAGACACCCCCTACCCTACCTAACTGACCCCCACCCTACCCTTACCCCGACCCCACCCATACCCTTACCCCACCTACCCTACCCCTACCCGACCCCACCTTACCCCTACCCCTACCCTGACCCAACCCAACCCTACCCCGTCCTACCCATACCCGACCCCACCCTACCACTACCCTACCTACCCAATCCCACCCCTACCCTACTTACCCGACCACACACCTACCCTTACCCTACCTACCCCACCCCTTACCCACATACCCGACCCCACCCTACCCTATCCGACCCTACCCCGCCTCAACCCCCACCCTACCTACCCGAACCCACCCTACCACTACCCGGGTTGGGTAGGGTAGGGGTAGGGGCGGGGTTGGGGTAAGGTGGGGTCGAGGTGGGGTCGATGTGGTAAGGGCCTATGGGGGTAGGGGCCTATGGGGTCGGGGGTAGGGTTGTGGTAGGGTGGGGACAGGTTAGGGTGGGGTAGGGTCGGGTAGGTAGGGTGGGGTCAGGTAGGTAGGGTAGGGGTAGGGGTAGGGGTAGGCGGTGGGTGGGCTCGGGGTAAGGTAGGGTGGGTAAGGAGTTAGGGGTATGGGTACACATATTATATTATATACTTGTGTTCATGAATGTTTGTGTGTATATATATGTATAGGGTTAGTTTGGACATTTTAATGTTAAGCGGTGTTTTAAACCGTTTGAAGTAAACACGGTCTTACAACATTGTTTATTTTATGCGCCGCTTATTAACACGGGTCTTAATAAGCACCGTTTAATAACCGGTGAAATAAACATGTCCTTAGTGTTGTTTGGTAAAATAAGTGCTTTTTGTGTAATAAAAAGGTAAAAATCAGATTCTAGCTTTTAACTTTTAAGTAATTCATTTAAGTAGAACTTGTCATTTGAAAACATCTTTTTTAGCTTTTTTAAGTCAAAAGCTAAGAAGTGCTTTTCTAGTTGTGTTTCGTGATTTTGAGAGGTAGTAATAAAATAAGAAGCATGTCATGTGCACACATTTTTATATACACGCCCCGGCACATTTTGTCAGTATTGGGAGGAGGAATTCGTCCGTAACTCGTGATTGTCTGATTTTATACTAAGGGAGTGTTTGCAACTGCTTAAAAAAAGCACTTCTCAGCTTTTGGCTTTAAAAAGCACTTATTTACCAAACACTACCAATTTTTACTTTTTCTCGACTTGCGTGTGAAAAGTGTTTTTCTCTTTTCTATTACACAAAAAGCACTTATTTTACCAAACACTACCAACTTTTACTTTTCAAAATCACTTTTTTCTCAAACACTATCAACTTTTACTACCAATCACTTTTTCATTACTTCTCCAAAAGTGCTTTTTTTTAAGCAGAAGCAGTTGCAAACACTCCCTAAATGTATGTGATACAAACAAAACGTGTGTGAAGCGTGTACAAAATAATTTCAGTAGGGGTGTAACTCGGGATAACCAATCTAACACTAGCCAATATAAGCAAAAAACATAGTCTCGTCAAGCACATCATCATGACATTTCCTCTATGCTTGCCACCAACTATTGCCCCCGTCATCATGACATAATGACATTTCCTCTATGCTTGCCACCAACTATTGCCCCCGTGCGAACTACTCTCATCACTCGGTGTAAAGGAGTTGTACAGATTTGAATCTGAGAAATGGTGAAAGGTGAAACTTCCTTCATAGATCCAGCAACTGCAACTGAAAATAAGATGCAGCAAATGACTAATGTACCCCACGGAAATCCATACTGCAGGTCTTCGCTAGATTACTAAAAACACCTTGGCATCTATCTTTGCCTCTGCTAATAAGAATATACTCCATCCGTCCCATTGGACTTTGACAAGTTTCCTTTTTGGTTGTCTCAAAAAACTTTGTCACTTTCCCATTAAAGTAACTATTTAGTGGTTCTGCTCATTTCTCTCTCTTCTGCACAATCTTCAACCACACAATTTTTACTATTCTTACTTCTCATCTAACTCAATTAGTGCAAAGTCCATTGGGACAGAGGTAGTATTCAACATCTAATTAGGTATGTTCACGTTCCTGAAACTGCATTAGTAGAAGAATGAACAAAAAAGGAACCTACTCAAATATAAAACTGAAAATGTATGCCGACTAAATTTTTGCATACAACAAAACCAAATACAACACCTCTGTATCCCTGAAATTGTACTTCTGAACTTCAAAAGCCTAAATCCACTGCAGCAACTCATGAGGGAATTGGAATGCCAAAACTATCAGAATGCTGTAATTTGTAAGGAACCAACATCTAAGTCAACAAAAAAAGGATAATAAATGAAAAGTATGCCTGAATATATCTTAACACTTTATTTAAAAGCAACACATTTTATTAGTACTAACTTCCATTTTCATCCCCACCCCTTCTTTTTCTTTACTTTTCCTAAACACTGTTTGAAAAGCAAAAAAATGGCAAGGGGAGGGAGGATAATGCCAAGGAAAATAGTTTACAAATTTGGCTTTAATTTGAAAATATGAAGAAAATCAAATGTGATAGGAACTTCTTTAATACAAACAACAACATCCAAGCCTTAGTCCCAAAAGATATTGGGGTCAAATAACATGAATCGATACATGATATCACCACCAAAAGGAAAAGAAAGAAAATAAAGATAAAAAAGATAAGCTTTTATGAAAAAGATAATATAAAAAGAGATGAATATACCTAAAAATTATAAAATAAAAAGGATAAAAATAATGTTTATATATAAGGATAAAAGGATTTAAAACCAAGAGAAAAAAATGAGGGGAAAAGATAATACGAGATCACTTCTCCACACGAATACATATTTGGATTCATGTCATGTGATGTGACTAAGTGATACTGTTGGCTGTCACACGCCTACCACAGCACCCTTCTCCTTTATCCTGGCTTGGGACATGCATTATACAAAAAAAAAATGATCTCATGGCGGAGTTTAGGAACTTCTTTAATATTTTACTTAAAAAAATTTCTTAGTCTTTATGCATTATGAATATGTAACAACAGAGTTGGAACAATTTTCTAAAACTGATAAATTGAGTTTAAAATTATTTACCCTAATTTTCATTCCCTGAACTATTCCTTGTTCCAAATGGACCCTAATGATTTTATTGTTAAAAAACTTGCCTTGGAGAGCAGTAGATTATGCGCATTTTTCATTCATGGCTTGCACTGTCGCCATGCAACTGAGCAGATCTCATGTTAGGCTCATCCTGATATGAAAGACGGTGTATATACAAATGAGCAGTAAATTATGATATATGGCAGCACCCTTGAATCTAAGACAAGTATTTATAATTCAATAACTACGTACCAAAAACTGTCATGCTTGAGTAATGTACAACTTTTTTATGTTTGGTAAGTTACAAGTGTACAACTCTCATAATCATATTTATATTGTCTAAAGTCTAAACTTTTGTTGGCTTACTAAATCTAGCACATGTAACTTTTCTGTGATTGTTTTCATTACTTTGTTACAACTACATTTGATTAAACTGGACTCTTTTTTGGACAAAAAAAAAAGTTGACACAAGACTCTTTCTTTGGGGTAAGGAGGGAGTAATTAGTAAGCTGACCTGTAAGCTGAAACCAAAGCTTGGTCTGTAATCCAGATGCCCCTATATTGGTTGATGTCTTATTAAGTCTATTTACTGTAATTAGAGCAGTAGAACATTTTATATCAAGAGAGACTAATACCAGTACAGGCACACTTTGTTGAGACCCAAAAAAACCATCATGACTAGGTGTAATTGGAGTAAGTTGCCCCTACAATCATTCAAATGTTTACAAAGTTCTTCATATGCTGCTATATCAGTTCAGCAATGGAAGAAGGATTAAAACAAAACATAAAATAGTACTACGTAATCATAAATCCACACTTAGTACCAGTCCCTGGATACTCTGTCGGTTGACATAATAAGAATCATTAGGTGGCTCCATCAAATTAAGCTGCATCTGGAATTAAGTAACAGTGGGATGATCACATTATTTGTAACATTGCACAAAAATAAAAAGAACACATCAAGGACTACTGTGTCCTCCATATGCAGCAACCTACCAGTCCATGCACATTCTGTGGTGTTCCATAATATCCACTCAGGGTCATACTATCTGCGCTAAGATTATCCTACAAACAAGAAAGTTTAAATAAGAACGCCAGAAGAAAACACACACACACACCACACACAAATATTTCCATCTCAATTCTAGTGGAAACAATCTGTAGAAACTGCATCCACTAATCTAAATGAAGTTGTAATTAAGTCCCTGCACATATAGCCTTTGATAGATTGAGAAGGAGGGAAAGAAATGTTTTTATTGGGAACCATTAAAATGCAGAGAGAAAGAGACAAATGTTTGGGTACCAATTTTATTTCTTCTCTCACATGGAGAGACATGATAGAAATGCACTCCTCGATCTTTAGTTCTTTACCTATTTATTTTCTATTTCTCTCCTACCAAACATGTCACAAAATCTACCCTACTTTTATGTTATATCTGTCTTCTAATCTTCTCTTTGTCTTATGATCTTCTCTCTTTCTCACCCATTCCTCTCTTCTCTATTTCTTCCCTTAACCAAAGGCATAAAGCGGTGACATAAAGGGCACCTTGCGACCGAGGTAATATTAAGACTCAAGGTTCCATCCTAAAACTCATAGGAGGAGTAGCCCAAAGTTTTATATGTTAGTTCGTGTTTTCATATGCGACGGGTGTGCGATAGCTTAATATGTCCCACATGATGGTGGCTCGTTTGAGCAGACCAAATTGTAGTATACATGCTAATTGTTAATTAAGACTTATCAGGATCTAATTGCTTGTTGAAATTTAATTGACTTTGATACCATATTAAGATTCAAGATTTCATTCTAAAAAGTAAACCTGATAGGAGAAGTAACCCAAAGTTTAATATGTTAATTTGTATTTTTTTACGCGGCCGGTGTGGGATAGTTTAATAGGCAAAACATCGCCACTGATCTTTTGCATGAATTTATAGTGCCAACTAAATTAAATGACACAATAGCTATCATTTCACCTACCCAACTAGTTGGGATTAATAATCTAGCGATGATGAATTGCTGATGAGAATGAGAACTAGTCAAGTTACTCATGATAATCAGGTTCTAGTAAATTGTGTTTGTCGCATAAGAAAACATAGTAATGACTAAATTCACAGGGGACAAACCAGTTGGTTCAAGCTGTTTTGAGTGTCAACAATTGCCAGTTCAGTCTCAGATTGTACCTGGGTGGGGAAGGACAAGGTCATTGGCATTAAGAGAATGAAGCACAACTAGGTTGACAACAGAGAGCTGATTTGATGTCAAACCTTTCTTTTCTTTGTCGCACTCTTCTTCTTACTTGTTTTCATGGCATGAGATCCTTTGTTCTCTTCTTCTACGTCACGAATGACAGCAATAGTACTGCTACATTCTGTACCAGCTCTGTTATTAACATTCACACAGTTCCTAAGAGCTTCATCTAGTACCCGAAATGCAATATTGTAACTCTCCTCAGATAAAGAACCTTCTTCCCCCAATTCAATGGCCCATTTACACAGGTCATTGTACCTTTGCACCCTTGTTTGAACCCTTTCAGTGCCCTCCACCATGTGCGTGATCTTGGCATCTCTAGTCCACCTCTTCAGAATATAATGTGATGGGATGCTTGAAAGGCCACACATTTGAAGAACAATCATTGCATGTCTGCAAAGGAACCCTTTGTATTCGAATAGTAGGCACGAACAGGAAACATCCAATTTTGCCTCATTCCATGTCACAATAAAGTTGTCATCCTTTTCACAGTCATCAACCCTGAATGTTATGTTTGCACCATTTACGCCTCCTTCTCTCTTTGGGTGGCATCCGACTACCCCCAGAACCTCGACCTGAAATTTCTTGAATATTGTGTGAGTATAAATTGTAGACATTTGCTTCTCCCATGGTGAAGGAGATTTCAATGCAGGTTGTTTGTGCAATGTATCAAAGTCTGCTATGGCTTCTTCTTCATGCCTATTCTGCAGAATGAGTCCATACTGCTTCACAAGCTCTTTAAGACTGATCTTCTTGTGGATGTACTTGTCGAAGAATGAGACTGGACTTTCAGATCGTTGACTTGTAGACATTCCAGCTAAAAAGGCACCCCTCATGAAAATCGGAACCCAATTTTTTCGGTCTTCATACAACAAACGAATCCATTCATTCTCTTGTAACTCAAATCTGGTAACCATCTTCCACCATCTCATATCAAACTGTTCATCCGTCAATGACTTGAATATGCACTTGGTGAATTTTCCCATGAAATTATCACGCTGCTTTATGACATGAGAAAGAATTTCAGGAATCCTTTCGGTTACATGCCAAAGAGCAAAGGAATGACATGAAGAAGGGAAAATTTCCTCAGCAGCAGATTTAAGAGCTCTGTCCTGGTCAGTTATAATTACTTTAGGATGTCGTCCACCCATAGCTCGAAGCCATGTTTTCATTAACCACACAAATGTTTGTTTGCTCTCATCTGCTACTAGTGCACATCCAAGTATCATCGGCTGAAAATGATTATTCACTCCAACAAAAAGTACAATTGGCATCTTTTCATTGCTCTTCATATAATTGGTATCAAGGAAAACAGCATCACTAAAACTAACAAAATCTTTTCTGCTTTTGGCATCAACCCAGAAAAGGTTCTTTAAACACTGATCGTCATTGAGATCAACAGCATAAAAGAAATATGGGTTCTCTTTCTGTATACGGATGAAATACTCAAGAATGAGTTGTGCATCACCCTCTTCTAACCCTAAACACTGCCCTCTACTAAACTGATAATTCAAACTATCCCCCGTGAATTCAACATCTCTATTTCCACCAGTTTGCCTTGACATCTCAACATACACCTTTCTTGTTCGTTCACTGACAGCATGAAGAATATCAATATTATTTCTTTCAGCTAGTTTTACATTCCTATGAATTCTAAAGTGGTATGCTAGGGCTGGAAGGAGTTCATGATTATGCTCCTTTATGAATTCATGGATGTACCAATTCCCATCTCCTTTTCTTTTTACATGCATGCTTGCTTTGCAGTCTGTCTTTTTCACGGTAGGGCGTCTACTACTGCAACCTTCAGCCTCTGGTGTCACTCCATATCTAGAACAAGCAAATTTTGCGTCTATAAACTCTTTAGATTTCTTTGAACGCCGGCTGTTTTTTATTGAGGTTGTGAATCCCATTGATTTGGCATATTCTTGATAAAAAGAATATGCATCTTCATGGGACTCAAATTCAATACCATCATGTGGCTCGAGACCTGTATTTCCTTCAGATGCAACTATGACCCTTTTAGGGGAATGAGACATCCCTCCATCTCTATCCTGATGTGGCATTTCTACATCATCGCACATGTGTACGACCATTTGAAGATTCCTTTGCATGCTATCTCCAGGAATGGTTATTACTTTTATTTACCTGAGGTAACTCAGCAAACGTTTCCAATTGCAGTTTGGGAAAATCAAGAGACAGATAAATATCTCTAAAAGAATGAATCTGTTACGAAGACTATAATGGAAATACAGCATGATTAATCTCACTGTTCGAAGTGTCTAAATTCACACACATGAAGGATAGATATATGGCAAAAAATTCAAGCTCTTTTTAAGAACCCCAATTCACCAAAAAAACCATGTCCAAGTGCATTCCTTTCATAATAATCTGTGTGAAAATCAGGCGAAAAGTTTCTCTTAACTTAAGATCAAATATGCATGGAGTCAAATGAAGATGTATAAGAAACTCAAACAGTCCATAACGGACAGCAAGGTCACCTTCTAGTATAGCATAAATGTCCATGTGCAAAAGCTTTGTTTAAGTCCAAAAGCACATACAATGAAAACTAACATTATCACAACCAAAGGTTCAGTTAGCTTGAAAACCAAAAGCATTTTTTGCACTACAGTGGGTAGATTTGACAGAGAAAATTTGAAATTCTAGACCGAAAATGACATGATTTGAGGGTGTCAAAATATCAGGGCAAGACAATTTCCTGAACCTATGGTGAATGGCAGAAAAGAGAGGGAAATGAAAATATTGGTAAATGAACTCGGGATATTTTCTACTACGTATATGTTTATGTAGCTGGCCCACTTGTTCTAGATGTGTATATATGACAGAATTCTAGTATAGCATATTAGGCTTCCTCTAATTCATTTAGTACCTAACGCTCTAACTGGAGAATATATATTAGGTTTTGGTTATCTACAGGATTAATAATTATTCTTTTGAACAAAATTGAATAGTCGTATTAGGTATGAATTAAAAGTCAAAACTCAGTTAAACCCTAATACTCGAATGCATCAAAAACACAAAAGTTCCATTATTGTAGATTGATCTTCTTAATGATCAACATAACCACATTTGATGCAAAATGAACTCAAACCAATTTTCAAAATGAGAACATAATCACTCGATCTTTGTGTATGGACTTCACTTGACATCATAATTCAGAAGATCACATTGATAAATAGAAATGGTAACCTTCATTCTGATACATGTGCTTAAAAATGAGCTGAGAACGTTCTCTATTATCTGCAAACCTCTCAGCATATTCAAGCAAGTATTCTTATAACAACTAAACCCTTAAGCACCAAAATTAGTCAAACCCTTCTCATTCATGCTTTTTTGTTCTACAATTATTGTTGGATTCAAGTATAGAGACTAATAGCAATTGTGTAAAATTTCCCTAGAACAAATCTAAAATCATATACGGAGTATTAGAATTTGAAAGCACCGCATTGTAGGAAAAGGAAGACGAAGATAAAAGAAGAATAAGAGAGATACATGTCGGCCATCATCGTCGTTCAGCAAACATTAATTTCACCGCTTGCAGCTCATGAAGCAATTTGCCCGAGCTTGCAGACAGGGGGGCAATTTGACACAATGAAGGCCGCCCCTACAACTCTACAACTACCCCAAATGAAGGCCTTATTACAACTATATCGGCCACTGGGCCGTTTACATGCGCGTTCTAACCCGCTAAGGATGGGACCGAGGTGATGGAGAAGAAAAACAATTGCGTCATCCTCCGAGGTGTAACCCTCCGTGGGGAGGATTCCGAGGGGATAGTGCGGTCAGGAAGTCCGCCTCTTCATCCTGAATTGGGCTACGGCCTTATGTTCCTCATGTCGGATTGGGCTGTCCATATGTCTAAGTGTGTGTGGGCCGTGGTTCTAGGCCCATATACTCCATCAGGAGTCCCCCACTCCCTGAACTGAGAAGTACCGAAGTGAAAGGAAGTAGAGTTGATGTAACAACAGTGTTGTGTTTTTTGTCACCGGCGTCCGTGTCTGGACTTTAATTCTGAGGTGATATCTTCCGGGATGAGTCTGGCCGTTGTGTGTCGTTGGTCTTGATTTCCTAGTTTTTGGAGATTCCGAGGTGTAGTCCCACAGTGCCCCCACTCCTCGTGCCATCATGGATGTGGGATCAAGGAGTGTCTAGATTTTGTGGTCATAGTCGTTTTTGCAAAATATCGGTTTGTCGGGGTGTCGCCTTCAAAGGTGCACGGGATCCGATCTCTTTGGCGATCCCTGGACAAGGCAACCATGTGGGAGAATCCTTGTCCGAAAGGTCGCTGACCGGAGACCCTCACCGCGATGCTTGAATTCGTAAGGCCTACCTCGTTATTTTGGCTTGGGATGCTTGCTGGTGTGATATCGTGCTCGTGGGATGAGCATTGGTATGGCAGGCAGAGGGATGCATATCGACATGTGGCGTGATCTGAGAGGTCGAGTTGGGCGGTTGCGCCGATTGAACCAAACGGCAGCGGGCGTGTGGCCACGTGTGATAACCATTGAGGATTTCATCATAGCTTGCCTATAAATACCCGGCCCTTGTCTTCACTTTTTCCTAACGTTGTTTTTTAAGAACGGACGAATTGTTGCCTAATTCTAGAGTGAGAAACTCCACTTAACTGTTCTTCGTAATCTTCAAACCTTCAAGGTTAGTTCTTCGTGTGGATCGTTGCGCTTACCGCTACACTAAAAGCAATCGCTGATAGTGTAGCACGCTCCTCCTCCTTTATAGCACATGCGAAGCGCCACGCGGTTCGATTGCACCGGCAGACTGGCTGTTGTTGGCACCGCATACCCGCGGCCCAACAATCTCCCCCCAGCACCTGCCAGCCTACAACTGCGCAGCATGCTGTTGCCGGGGGTCGAACCCGTGACCTTGGCTCTTATACCAATTGTGGATCGTTGCGCTTACCGCTACACTAAAAGCAATCGCTGATAGTGTAGCACGCTCCTCCCCCTTTATAGCACATGCGAAGCGCCACGCGGTTCGATTGCACCGGCAGGCTGGCACCGCATACCCGCGGCCCAACACTTCGCATTATTTTGTGTACTTAGCTTCGTGATCTTTAGATTAGGTGTTTTTGGGGAATGGTTGTTTGATCTTTGGCGAGTACTTGTGGGAGTTGTTAGTTTTGTCGTCATCGGATTCTCAATGCATCTCTGGGTCTCCCAATAGGCTTTCTGAGAGTGAGGGAACCTCTTCGAGCCTAGACAACTTCAAAATGGAGCTTAGTCCGAAGGTGCCACGCCATAATGAGAAGGCTTCCGATGGTGAAGCTGTAGAGATATCTTAAACTGATTCCGAGGAGGATGAAAATTCCGAGGAGGATGAAACATCGTCCAATGACGCTAAGGAGCATGCACTGATTGTTTATGAGTATGAGTTCCTTCGGGGACTGACACCGCAGAACGTGTCGGTCCATCCAATTCAGAGATGTACCCTTCCCTGGTGTCCATGGTCGTTCCGACCAAGAAGAGGCGAAGAAATCGCCGCCCCGTCCCCCCGGCGTGCCGAAGGGGCACTCGTTCTTGGATTGTTCTTTGCTAAAGAATATTCGGCACGAGAACACGCATAATGATGTGCTTCTTGCTCAGATGTTTATCGACCCTCATGGGGTGGTCCGGGAGCCGTTGCCATCGGATAATGTGTTGGATCCTCTGAAGGGATATTTTGGTGCGTTTATATTTTGCATGTCTAAAGGTTTGTGGTTCCCGCTCCATCCATTCTTGGTGAGTTACTTCGATTATACGAGTTTGAGGCCTGGATAGTTGTCCCTGAATAGATATGCACTGATAACAGGGGTTTTACTTAGGTGTAAGGATGTGGACATAGAGCCTTCGCTCAAATTGATTGTTTGTGAACTTATTCAAGTTGAGTTGGGGAGGGGGCATAAAAATTGTGGTGACATTGCCAACCTCCAGTAGCTCTTGAAGAGAAGGAGTTTTAAGGGACTGCCTTCGTCAATCAAGTATTGGAAAGATAGGTTTGTCTTCATTTCGACTATAATGAGATCTTTAATGAGATCTTTAAACAAACAGTGTCCATCAGACTATAATGAGATCTTTAAGAGACACCCCATTGTGGGCAAGGTGACAGTTGATGACATTGCTCCTGTCATGGCTACCTTCCTCGTTGGGGGGGGGGGGGGGCAGAGTGTTGGTGAAGTATATGAGTGAGGAGAGAATGGACCTCCTTGGGTACGAGAGGTAGCGACTTCCTGGCAAGGAAAAGGGGGGGATTTGTTCCCTGAGATGGTTGAGGAGACGGAATGGGCTAAATGCACTGATCCGTCTGAATGCTGAGGTCGTTGCGGTTCCCAATGCGCTTTGATCTGCATTTTTTTCTAACCGTGGTTGTTGTTTACCTTGCAGCTGACGACATAGACAGGAAAACACTGTTTAACTTAAAACACCAGGAAGAGATGGCTCAAAAAAGAGCCGCCGAGGAGGTTGCCAAAGCCGAAAAAGAGTCAGAAAGGTGATGGAGGCCCGAAGAATAACGAGGCTGATCGAAAGGACAAAAGGGGGGCTGCGGAGAAGGCCAATGCGGTGAAGAATAAGAAGCCGAAGGTGGATGAGGGGCAGAGGACCTTGCGGCAAATCGACCTCGTTCCCACCGGGGTGTCCTGAACCCCCGCGAATGAGCCACCGGTTATTAATATTTTGAGCAACTGGCTCAAGGGGAGGATAGGACCCGACCCCTTCAGGTTGTTGTTGAGGGTGGGACCTCTGAGAGTGGGGCCGTCTGACATTCATGTAATTTCCATTTTTATGTTCGTGTTTTTAATTAGTTTTAATTGATTGTTACTTTGGAAATTACACTCTTTTGGTGTAATAGTTTTGTTTGTAAAATATTTGTAATTTGTTTAGATTAGGTTTGTTCTGAACTCAAACAGGTCCATGATCAATCAAGAGACCATTGATGAACCCATAAATTGGAAGGAAGGTGCAAGATTACAAGACAAAAATAGGGATTCTGGAATTTGAATTGTACCCGGTCGGGTATACCCTATACCTGATCGGGCACCATGCTGGAATATCAAATCGGATCAAATCTGGAACAAGGCAACGTGCAGAAGATATTTGACCACGTTCAAATGTAATACCCGATCGGGTAACCGACATACCCGGTCGGGTATTTCCCACTTTTCCAGCTTCCGGTAAGCTACTGAAGGTACCCGATCGGGTGCCCTATATACCCGATCGGGTGCCCTATATACCCGATCGGGTACACATCCCTGCATGCCCCAAACACCTATAAATACAACCCATTTCCTTCCCATTAAATTCACCAATTCGCATATACTTCTAAGCTCAGTTTAGACAAGTATTTCCTTTTTATTTTCTAGTATGTTTAGTCTCCAAATGAGGGGCTAAACTCTTCCATCTTGCTTTTGCTACTTTGAAGCTTAATGAATTGTAAGTTGTGAGTTATTTTCATTAATCTTCTTCCTTGAATATTAATTAATCTATCTCTATATAAATGTTGGGGAGTGTTTCTAAGATGACAATTAGTTAACATCTCAACATTAGTTGTAGTAACATTTATTTTCTTTAATCTTCCTCCTTGAATATTAATTAATTTCCATTCATATTTCATATTAATATTTTGAACATTACTTAAAGGATCAACTATTTTTGTTTCATCTATTAATTATTACTAGAATCGATCGACGAATACGCTTGTTAATCGTTCGGTCCTTTTACGATAGTAAACTTGGATTATAATGCATGCGTCTCATGATTAATAATCTATGGGAATTAATTACATTGATTAAACCAATAAATCGTTTGTGTTGAGGTTGTCAATCTCAATCGTTTTCATCTTAAGTTTATTGGTACTATTGGGTTAATATACGGCGCGTGTTCTATATTGACTCGGTAGTAAGTTTTATTAATGAACGTGTCTTGTTGTGAATAACTACCCTCAATGAATCAGATATACTCCTCAATTGAGTATTCGAGAGGAAGATAGTTAAAGATATAACAGGGATCAACGAACATTTCATTAAGTGGATAAAAGCAAAATCAAGTCTTCATCTCTATTAATTAAACCACATAAGTCGTTCATCTTGGTGTTAATTTAATTAAATCAAATCAAACTGAAAACCCCCCTTGTTACTAATTAATTAAAAAGAGAAGTATTCTTTTTCCTGTGGATATGAACCTTAATACGCTATACTACATATTAGTGTTGCATTGTATTTATTATTTTGACACGCATCACGACAAAGTGCTCGTCAAATTTGGCGTCGTTGCCAGGGAATGGCAATCATTTTTCTTTTTCTTTTTAATTCAAGAATAATCAAAAATATATATAAATAAACAAAATATAAAGAGTCATTACTTTTTCTATTGCTGAGCCTTGTAGTATATGGTTAAATATCGTTCACTGAACGCAATCACCTATCAAGCAAACCCGGAAATAGTGCGATCTTTCGAGCGGTGGAAAATTAAATTTTCAAGTACCGACTCGGAGGAAGCGTCTACCAAACATTCATCCACCGCTAGCTCTAGCTCTAGCAAATCCGGAGAACCATCAACTATGGCTCTCGAGACACGAACCTTAAGGGAGCTCACCGCTCCAAATCTCAATCAACAACCATTACGTATTACCTTCCCAAGTCTTGATGAGGGTAATACATTTGAGCTCAAATCGGGGCTCATTCATCTACTTCCATCCTTCCATAGCCTAAGAGGGGAGGATCCAAACAAACATCTCTCGGGGTTTCATGTCGTATGCACAAGCATGTGTCCTAATGGAGTCGCCGAGGAACAAATAAAGTTGAGGGCTTTTCCATTCTCCCTCAAAAGATTGGCTATTCT